AAACCCGAGGACCTAGTGTAGCTGGAAGGATTAAGTCAACTGAAAAAAATCCAATGACCTCATCGGGACTTGAACCCGCGACCTTCCGGCTTGTAGCATAGCCCCTCAACCACTACGCTACCGCGTGCCCCTATCTGTTGGTGATAACTTGCAATATTTGATCTATGCAGGGGCAAGTGCAACTCAGTTAACCAAAATGTATGCCACATATCAAACCTATTATTCTGACACCATGGTTAAAAAAATGCCTGGTAAGAAAAATATCAGATGTGTCAGATATGTTTACCTGAATATTAAGACAATATATTTCTTATACTTTGGCATCTGAAAAAACATGGGATTTCTTACTCACATACTTAGAAAATACTACATTGGATTCAATGTTTCCACACAACTAGTGTTACTATGAAGATATATATTTAGAGCAGGTAATACAACTGTTTCAATTATTCTTTTTCAAGTTCAAGGAAATGTGCTTATAATACATAGATCTGGCTCAAGACAGGGACCAGTGGAGGGCTCTTGTGAACATGGCAGTGAACCTTCGGATTAGATAAAATTCTGGGAAATTCTTGAGTAGCCGCAGGATTGGTGGCTCCTCAAGAAGGGGTCAGCTCCATGAGTAAGTAAGTAAGTGCTTATAATATAGGAAAAACCAAACACTGCAGTGTGCAGTAGACTGCTGTGGTATAAACATAAGTGACCATGTTGAAGAGAGAGGTTAAAATATTGAAATGTGTTTTGAACCTATGACAAGAACTTCTAATCAATGGTCATGAAGCAGGCAAAAGTATCCAAGAATCACACTGCAGCATGAATATTTGGTATTCCCAAATAAAGTGTCTGACACAGGAGAAAAGTGGAAGAATGGTTAATGCGTACTACTTTCATGGGTCCAAACAAGAATGATATAAAGATACAGACAAACAAGTCCTTACCTTTGTACTTGACTAACATACAGGGTGTTTCACGNGTTCTCGTTATCTCGACACATGAGAGCTACCTGAGGTGGGGGGTGGGGGGGTTGGTATGTCCAGCGCGGTTCACAACCAAGCGGCAGCCTGTGTTGCGTCTGGCGGTGACATTTTCGAAAATTGGCTTTAAGCACCAATCAATTCAAATTAAAGGTAATATCACGAAGTTAACTTTACATTCATACTTTAAATGTATGATGTATTATGCTGGTTTATTATTTTGTTCCGTTTATTGTCAGTAATGGTTACCTTCTATTCTGAGTTTAAAACGGTCATAACTCTGTAACCGTCCAAAATCGAACACATGTTTATATGAACTTTTTTGACCACAAAGACCTAGGAAATCACCTCCTGCAGTTATGCCCTAAAGTCGTGAAACACCCTGTATACGTATATGGGCTCACTGTTTCTCACAGCAGACAATACATATGAAGACACAGAAGTGGCATCATCATGCTAGATCCCATAACAGGTTAGAAGAATCATCAGATTTATGGAACTGTATCATCATGGAGAACAGAATTAATACAGAAGCCTCCCATGGACTACACATGACTGGCATGTGAACTGTCTACACCAGAAGAATGACTACCTTGACAGTTAAAGAAGAAACACAGATACACACTTGTGTTCTTTGATATGCCTACCAACTTCACAACTGATGTTAAAAGTTAGAAATCTGTGGTGATAAAGACTATAAACTTAGAAAATCAGTAATATTCTCCATAAAGAAACCATCTGAGCAATTGCTTGGGAAGCAGATAACAACTGCACGGAGAGTCATCTCATCAGTCAACTGAACATGGAATTCGAAGTACTATTAATCTAACAGTATGAATCCTGAGGGTGGAAATCAGTGATGCAGACAACTCTTCAGTCAGCAAAGTAAAAATGCAACATGACATTATTTACTTATCTGTACATTTTTATCAATGTAGTTTGTACACTGTTACTTATATTCTCTTTCTGCCTCTGTACTAACAAAATATGTTAATAAATGATTCAGTTTTTTGGATATTACCCATTGTCCTATTTACCTAAAACAATGTTTCAGAGGCTTGACTCTGTCTCCATCCTCAGGTAAAAACCTACTCAGTTGGGCCTAGTCCCTATCTGCAGACGCTAATGTTAATGTTGAAATACTACTATTCACACATCTCTGAACATTGTTATAATTAACTGCAGAATGAAGACCCATTATGCAAACAGGGATAATTCTAATACTGATATGTTTTTCTGAAAACATAAAATTATAAGAGGAGATTGTCTTATATTGTTCAGTCATCTTATACTGGATAAAATAAGGTAATAGTCATCATATACAACTACAGAATCTGTATGATTTAAAAAACTAATTACCATACTGATATTTATAATACCTAGCTGAGTATTTTAATGTTTACTGGTCTTCCATTATACCTCAGTTCCACAATATGATCTCACCCATTAAATGATCTGGATCACTGATAATCAGCCTACCTCAAAATTCATTGAAATTGGAGGTCGAGTCCATTTCTTCTTTGTATCAGTTTCAAGAAGTTCAATCTCTGCAGATAACTGAGTTTCTTTCATACCAGCCATTCTCTTGATCCTGGGAAAAAAAAATATCAAAACTGAAGCTTGCACAGTTCATCAAGTCTGAGGAGCATGCAAATTCTGCAAGTGAATGAGTACTGTACAGCTGACTTGGTATCTGAAACAGCACTCTGCTGAGAAAAATCAGTTCTCAAGTTTCTAATAAAATATGTGCTACAATTTTTAGATGCATATTATGCACAGATGACAAGAACTTGAGGATATGACAGTATTGTGTACAAGGTAAAAATGTATGAGATCATATGGATTCAACCACAAACCAATCACATTTCCATGGCTCAGATAAGCTGTCTGCTACAAAATTAAAGTGCAGATGTTTCATCAGGATATTCAAGCTAATACACAGAAAAAGGGAACAACAATGACCGAAACAAGTCCTAAAAGTATCTTAACATTACATAGCATTAGAAAATCTGATTGAGAATTTCCATTTCATATCCTCTACTTGCTGATAAGCTATTAGATCTGTTATTGTCATTTGGAAGAAACAGTTAATAACATCCACGTCATGCATCCCTGTGAATGTGTGTTCTTTCTTACATTCTTCACTGCCATCATCAGATTCTATGAAGGTTGCAGCATGAGTCATAGGCAGTAATACCAACAGCTCTTATTCACACAGTCATTACAAGGCTCTGGCTACCAGTCTGTGCATGTGGTTCTTCCACTATGGGGGTCGTTTTTCTTATATTCTGTGTAAACCGTGTCTTCTGATGTGTCTTCCCTTCTTACAANAAAAAAAAAAAAAGGAAAAACGACTCCCATAGTGGAAGAACCATACAATACACGAGTTTGAATTAACACACATAAGATGAATAATCTTAACAAGTTTTAGTGTGTGTAAATTTATTACAGTTGACAAATACGCACTTTTTAAATAATTTTATAAAGGCAAGCAATGAAATAGATTAGTGTAATTAGGGCACCTGATGATGGCACTATGTCGCCGAAACATGTCGTGAAGTAACAGGTGAAATTGAGTGCACTACAAGACAGCAACTGTATACATATCATGGATATAAATGTATGAGTAATTTTCTTCTGTTCTATATGTGTAAAGAAGCAGATGGCAATTATCAACTGTTAATAAGTTCTTTTGCCTTCCAAAATTATGTGCAACATCTCTTTTCAGAGACATATGATGTTTAATAAATACAGTAAAAAATGTTGCATCTGAAGTTCTCATGGCAGTGACTATGAAGATTATGTTCTTCTGGCCTGTAACACTGTGTAGTCCAGGGACTGTCTGATGTTTCAGAGGAATATACAGCCTCAATTTTCATGGTCAAAGAGTAAGCTACGCAAAGAAACTAGCAGGTGCAGGCAGCAAGCTCAGCTTAGCTTACTCTTCAACCCTGGAAATGGACTATTATACAGATAAATCATAAAATCGACTCACTTCCAAACAATGGCATTTTCTGATGCTTTATATTTAGCCTTTCCCTTCAAGCAAATCAACTGAACACCTGATGTATTCAAAGGTGTAGGGATCTTCACTTCAATCTTCTGTCCCAGCAATGATGGCTTAAAATTTGACTTTAAAACAACTTTCACTTCCATTTTAGTGCGGCCAACCTCGCGAACCAATGGAATCACACGAAAAGGTAAGGAGATATCCTTTGTTGTTCGGTACCTGAAAATCAAAATTGTTAATCTTCATTTCATGCATCCTGTTGTGTTACAATATATAACTTTACCTTTCGTCACAACAACTAAGGAGTATCTAGGTCAATACCCAGAATTAACTATTTTGTCATTGTATCTAATTTTACTACAGTTCAATAGTATATGTTTGTTGATTTGTATTCACCTGATGATGGCCGTTAATGGCCGAAACATGCAGTGAGGCATAGTTGGGTATTGACCTAGATACTGTTGTGCTGTGACGAAAAATAAAGTTATATCAAAATTGTTCTTTATATGCTGCAAGAAAAAGTTCACAGCCATAAAATCATTACTTTCCTTAGCTAAAACACAAAGTTTACTATTTGCAACTGCAATTAAAATGTAAAAATTCATATACCTAAAATAACTAATAGAACACAGACAGAATTTCATCTCTCACATCTTTAATTCACATGGTACATGCTTTAACCCTTTCTACAATACCACTTGCTTTTGTATCTGCAAATTTAGGGCATAACCAGAACCTGTAGTTAACATACAGGCCACAGTGATCTGTGCTTAAAGTGTACAATCAGTTAATATTTTAACCAAATGACATTACATTAAATGTCCTCAATTTTGATCCACAAAAATACTTTATCGCCAGGTGGTGTATTACTTGTTAGACTTATGAGTGCGAACTGATGGTCCATAACTGATGTTCTGGACCTTACAGACTTTGGTTTGATACATCTAAAAATTAGATGCTTCACTGCTAACATCATAGCAACATCTTTAATTCATATCAGATGAAACACGATACCGAATACAAGTCATTTATCGCAACACAGTGATAGGAACGTTCCAAAATATCAAGCACTGTATGGTAGAAGCAACAAAAGAAAGGGATGCAATTGTAGCTGAATAGTCTTGTTACATCAGACACCACCATATAACTACTTTTGACTATGTTTGCTGTTGGTGCTGGTTGACTAACATGTTACATATACCCTATTTTATTTGTCTGTCACAAAACATGACCAGTCTCTACACATGACTCCAGATCATGACGGGTTAGAAAGTTCTGCTAGAATATTTTCACTCCTTTAAATGATATATGTTCCACAATGAACTATCTAACAGAATACCAACATTTGGCCAATGACAAAGTAATTGTGAAGCTCAAGGTATGAGTGGGGTTTTGGCACAACATTTCAAAAAATAAAAAATTAATCAAATAAAAATGTACAATCTTTGTAACAGGTGTATGTATGTGTATGTGTGTGTGTGTGTGTGTACACACAAAACACGACAATTTATCTTATTAAACAACGAGTGAATGCTACTGCAAAAATCATTCCTATAACTGGAACATTGTTCCATTTAATATAAAAAAGTGAAGAGTGTCAGACAAGCTCTTCATGAACGATTATTTTTCATGCCTCAACTCTCTGGATCTACGTAACAGAAACCAAAAACAGCTGCACATCACTCATCACAATAGAAAAGGCATGCCAACAAATCTGAGATAAAGTAAACGTGAAGAAAGTTGGCATTACATGAAAAGTGAACCGAGGCACAATTGCTATTTGTTAGTGGTAGCAGCAGGCATCATGCAGATCAGCCGCAAAGGCTATTTGCACCTATCTACCAGTTACACAGCCACCTCATCCATGGAGCACAGCCCTTCTTGAGAAGCCTGTTAGTCACTCAGTTGGTCAAAGAACTACCTAATGAACTTTCAGGTTCCATAAAACACTGGGATATTCCTGAGTAGCTGCAAAACTGGCTACTTTTTAAGAAGGGCTCAGAACCTTGGAGTGAGTTAGTCTGGTGGATTCAGGGTCAAAGAGTAAGCCAAGCAAGCAAAAAGCAGAGCCCTGTTTGCTTGGTTTCATCGTTAACCTAGAATCTACCAGACTACATGATGTTACTTCACAAAAGGTAGTACTCTTCATAAGTCACTGCTATACGACTATAAATCTCATATGCAATATCATGTTCACAAGAAATTATCCTGAGCCAAATCAATACAGTCCACACCCTCACACCACACATCTTTAAGACCCAGTTCAAGATTATCCTCCTGACTACATCTATGTCTCTGAAGTGCTCTTCAGGATTAACCTCCTAATTTCTAGTTATGTTATAAAAGTTCATCTACCAATGCACAACACATATAACAACTGCATACCATGTTCCAGTGATGTTTGCCACTTTGTGCATCATATCATCTGGACTAGGGATCAACTTACATTCTCCTCTAGTATTATTCTGTAGCAAACTAGCCAACCTCTTTCTCTTGAATATTATCACATGACAGAGTGACCACAGATGGGGTTTGGATTGGTAACTGGATTTACTGAACTCTTACAAATCCTTGACTACAAGTAATTATTAACTGTTTCACTAATTTACATATTTTATAGTACACTAGAGCATACACTTAAGTCTTCTCAGCCTGCAGTGTCTTCGCCAGTCTTCTGGTAATGGTATCCAACGGCAGACGTTCCCCTTCCTCTAGATTCCTGAGCTGTCCCTTGTCTTGGCTACCAGCTTCTTGCAGCAACAGCCCACAACAACTGAACCCCAACACTTATCTAACTCACCAACCAAATCACTAACTCAGCCTCTCACCAACAGACTCCACTGACTGACTAACTCTTCACTTACTTACTTACTCATGGAGCTGACCCATTCTGGAGGAGCCACCAATTCTGCAGCTACACAAGAATTTCCTACCATTTTATGCAACCCAAAGGTTCATTGCCATGTTCACAAGATCCCTCCACTGGTCCCTATCCTGAGCCAGATCTACCCAATCCACACCATCCCATCCTATCTCTCTAAGATCCATTCTAATATTGCCCACCCGCCTACACCTTGGTCTTCCTTGTGGTCTCTTTTCTTCTGGCTTTCCCACCAATATCCTATAAGCAGTCGTCTCCCCCATTCGTGCTACATGACCTGCCCACCTCATCCTCCTTGATTTGATCATTCTAATTATACTTGGAGAAGAGTACAAGTTATGAAGTTCCTCATTATGCAGTTTTCTCCAACCTCCTGTCACTTCATCTCTCTTCAGTCCAAATATTCTCAACACCCTGTTCTCAAACACCCTCAGTATTTGTAATCTCCACCTAATATTAAGGTAAACAAAGGAAGGAGAAATTGATGGCATGTATAAGGGAGATGAGACAGGCACACAAAACTGTATTCCTTCCAGAATACAAATAAAAATGTTACTTGTAATGCTCATTTCTTCCATGCACGCAACATCTCACTGTTCTGATCCTTGATTTCATCACCCTAATAATATCAGATGGCCAGTAAGAATTATTAAGTTCCTCATTATGCAATTTTCTCCACCATGAGGTTACTTCATCTTAGGTCCAAATATTCCCCACACTGCTCTCTTCTCAAACATCTTCAGTTCATGCTCATCACTTTAGAAGTGATACTAAGTTTCATAGCGACACAATACATGAGGTAAGAGTAAATTTGGCTGTATTTTAATCTTTAAATTTTTTGATAGGCGATAGGAAGATGAAAAATTCTGAACCAAAGGGCATAAAGCTATTCAGGAATATAATTTTTACTTTTTACTGTCATCCTCTGATAACTGGATGCTGCCACATTTTAAAGGATTAACTACCTACGTTACTTTTTAAAAAAAGGGCATCAGAGACAAATTATAATTTTGTACATTGTTTTCAAATTTGTGTGTGATGGAAGATATTTTCTATATAAGAAAGTTTAGAAGATAAGAATGTGCTTGCTTCTTGCATCTTAAATTCCTCATTTCTAGTCATATGTTGCCCAACTCTTCGAGGATTTCAAATCACAGTGGCATGAGATTTCTATTAACTTTTAATTCTTCTCACTCCTACAGACAGCTGACCCTAGAAAGAGCACATCACATAATACGTATAAAGTTTACTTAAATCAACATGGTAGAAACAAACTAAACGCTTGTCACTATACTTAATTCCCAACAGCTACTTGTAGTGAGATAATAAATAAAAAAGAAAAAGCCTGTAATGCATAAAGCAATTTTTCCTGGCTATAACAATATGACTTCAATACCATCCCTAGAAAAGGCACAAAATAAATGCTGCACAAAGCCTACTACATGCTTATTAGCACAATCTGAGAAGTGCACATGGCTGAGAGAAAAAGAGTCAAAATCCTGGTAAATGCAATAAGACTTCATTTTGATTCAAGCACATGATGAAATTTTGTATTGTCAGAAGAATATGAACACACAGGCTACGCTTGAAATTGCAGATTGGCATAACAAGAACACTGCATACCTCATCAGTTCAAATTCTCCATCAGGTGGAATGAAACTAATGGAGTGCTCTGTCTCAAACTTCGACAACTTCACGCATTGGTGGAACTGGCAGTCATCAATCACTACAACTGGTTTTCCAGATCGAGCTGGATCATCAGTGCCACCACTTAGACCCTTTCCTTTTGCTTCCATTACAATCTTGTCATTGATCCCAAATTTGCATTCTGGCATTCCCGACAGATACGACTTCATGACAACTTTTCCAGCCACATGTGCTGACAGAACTTGACCTAAAATAATATTATAAGCAAATTTTCCTTAAAGAAAGAAGATATGCACGAGCATATAAAACTACAACAAACAGGCTTCTACCTGGTTCTCACTATTTATATAATATAGAAAAATATTCAAATACATTGAACTATTTCAAGTCAAACAATCTGAAGCAATAATCTAATAAAGATAAATGGCTATACCAGAGCCTTCTGTTTGCACATTTCAATAGTGCTAACACACTATTCAAATTTTCAGAGTGCAAAATTAACAGCATATTAGCAAATACATGTTACACGATTAAGACAAGTGAAATTAACTTATTGTCTTCTTCCTGAAACAACTAGTTATACATTCAAAAAACTCTTATCATGGACAAAGGATCCATCGAAACAAAAACAAACTCCATGGTTTTAGTCTGCAAGGAAACTATACTGACCGAGCAACCGCCGTTTGTCGGAGAAGTTAGTGTCAACTTTAGCGGATAGAGGGTGTTGCGTGGTCAGTGCAATGAATCCCGATGGCCATTAATTTCAGTTTTCTAGACCGAGGCCACTATTTCCTTGAAATAGCTTCTCAATTATCCTCATGAGGCTGAGTGGACCCCATTCCAGACCCACTACTTCTCAGAGAATTTGGTAGTGCCAGGAATCGAACCCAGACCTCTGGATTTGTAGTCAGGAACTCTGACCACCAGACCACAGAGGCAGTCAAAGGATCCATCACAAAATTGTTTATACTTACAAACACAGTATCATTTCAGTTTCTAAACTTCAATAGTCATGATCACAAAGGATCACATAAATCACATCATTACAGTTTAAAAGTGAAGTATGAATCAATATTTTGTTTTAATACAAAGTTCCATAAAGAAAAATCTTATGACACCTTATTTCCTCTATATGCTTTCATTTATACACAATGGATAGCCAGAATTATAAATTAGCATTTATATAATTTAGCTGCATATTTGTATCCATAATTTCCACTGACATAAATCCTTGCTACCTAACAGCTACCAGATAAAAATCATCTCACACGGTGTCAACAGTTCTGTATATTAATTACCAGGGTAACACTGTGCCTGTATTCAAAATATGTCATGGTTAGCTACAACTGACCACCAGTCACTGACGATACAAATATAAATATGCACAAAATGGATAAAATATGTCATAAATGTAGGGTCTTTCTAAACCAAACTTCAATTTTCAACAATCACAGCTCAGGCATTAATAGAGCTAAATACGAAGTAAAGTGCATTGTATTAGACATTTTTTCCCCATACATATTCCTGTTTCACAAATGCTGTCATGTCCCTGCATAATACAATGTACCAGCTCTCCCATCTTATTCACAGCAACAGCTGCAACAATCCACACTCACAGTTATTTTTATCTAGGTTAACAGAACAGGGGGCTGATGTACCTGATCATTTACATAGCCCGCAAAGAAGCCTGCCAGTCAAATCAGGCAACTGAGAGGGCTACATAACGAGCCCTGCTTGACCCATCCATGTGTCACAGACACGTGGTTTCTGCATTCCCCATATCGTCATGATATTTTGTCGGTTCCTTTTCCACTGGCATGCAACATGTCCCCAATGCTAGCTCAAAGTGAAGTGATTGTTCAAAAGTACAATCTTGTGTAGGAAGACTCTGTATATAAATACAGCCTAATGACAAATACCTGTGCATGATTTCAAATAGCACAGTTTGTACTATTTCAAACTAGCCCAAAAGCTCAAACTTTATTCCACTGCCAGGCTTTAGTTTTAACACAAGAAATCATTAATTTATGGCAATGCAAATATACAGCAAGCACTACTGCTGTGTTGTCATTTTGCATGCAACAAAATTATTAATATTTGCTCATTTCAAAGACTTAAAGCCATACAAAATTTCAGGACCATAACTTTCGCGGCCATAATGAGTCTACCACAAAAAAAAAAAAACACATGTGGCCAGTGATCATACTACTTATGTTAGGAAATTAGAAAATACAAATGTGAGTAGGCCCCTAATGATATGATGTTCACACCAAGTATCATAATCTATCTGTTGATTCAAAAGTTATTACACGGGCAAACACACAGCAAGGATGGAGTAATAAAGTAAGCCTGCCTTTCCTTACCAAACACGGAAGTTAGGTTAAGAATCTTTTTGTGTCACTTTGAACATTTGAAGGAAAGTTTGAACCGACAAATTCCTAAAAGTTATTATAAACGAAATATGTTACCAAATGCTCTTTGCAGCATCTTACCTTGGGGAGACATAAGAAGATTGACATACTCCAAAACATCAAGAAAAAGTTCATTGCGTCTGTATTTAATTCCTTCCCGTCGCCAGCCAATCTGTCCAGTAACCTGAGATGTGATTTGTGCCTGTTCCTCTTTTGTCTGTGATTTAATACCCTGTTGTGTAATGAACGTCTTCAAAACTCCAGTGTCAGAATTCTGAGGATATCCAAAGTCCAAGATTTCTGTTTCCAAACAAATTTAAACATATGTATAATGTAGTGATACCATAACACAAAAATGAATGAACCAAAATGCATTTAAGTATCCATAAACCATATTGAATTTAATTTAATTTTATATGTGGATCAGTATTCTAGTAAAAGGTAAGGTAAAGTTGTCCCTGTGCTTGACTAATTAAGCACTAAGCCTTGAAGGCATATGGGGGAGTGGATGTATAGATCAGTACTTGAGAATTATTTCTACTATAAGAAATTACAAGGTTTTGTGCCAGCCCTGATATATGACATCTTATCACTTAACAAACTCTAATCTCTTAACTGTCATGATTCTCTATAGACAAATGTCTCCTGAATTATCACAAAACTTGTCCAATCTGGTCCCATGCATTTCCAGTTAACCTAACTTATGCTTCAAAGCATCTCTTCTTATTAACTTCACTGAACCAAACCTATAAATACAGACTTCTAACATTTCAAATTCCAATCTCCTGTCAATTTTCTGTGCTTATATCATTACAAAGAATTTATCCAAGTCTATGGCCCTATGTAACACTTCATAGCATGTCCATTTCTTATAGTTAGAAGTTGTCAACCTCCACCAGACAACCAAACCAGAGGACCACCTCCTGTATTCTATCCACAACAGTTTATTCAGTATATTTACTGCTCCCTTCCATATGTAGTGCCTGCCTCCTCCATCCAGAGCCATCACCAAACCACAATGAGAAGAGATCCACTTAATACGGTCATTCACACCACGTAATACAGAATGTCCACAAAAATAAATGTGATGTATCAGAATGCCACATTTTAGTAGCTATACCACGTAAAAATCTGTATGGGACAGAAATTAACATGGTGATACATACTTACGATCTGGGTCAATTAAGGTCTTGTGATTCTCTCATAATACGGATTTCAAAACATTCTGTCTCAGTAGTGACATCTTTCCATTTTCTAAGGATACATACCGTCATATGTTAAGTGACTAGACACAGGGTTTGGACTGGTAATTGGATTTACTGAACTATAGCACTCTTGCTAATTCACAGACTTCACAAATCACTACAGCACATGCTAAACCATCTGTTTATTTCACTAGTCATCATTTAGTAATGGGTCCCAACAGCATAGATTTATCAGCTCCAGTGTTCAGCATCTTTCATCCTCGCTGGCTGGTGACTGCCTTACATCTCAACTGACTGGAAGTTCCAACTGGCTTTCCTTATACAGCCTCTGCATGGACTGCATCATTGGAAAAGTTCAGCCCATTCACAAAAAATGGTGGGAAACAGGAAATCTCCAAATATAGACCAATTTCAATTTTGCCACTTTTTTCCAAAATTCGTGAAATATTAATACATAAAAGAGTACTGACCTCCTTAAACAAACACAACATGATATCTGAGGCTCAAATGGCTTCGGAGAGAAGAAATCTAACAATACAGCAACACAATTCATAGAGGATATCCAGAAAGCATTTATAATTTTCATTTCATGCATCCTGTTGTTATAATATACAATTTCCTTATTAAAACTGTCACAACAGGCAAGTACATGGCTAACATATATATATACCACTGAACTGCAATACTATTACAATTGGATACAATAATATTAATTATATTAAAATACTTGGCATAAAAATACAATAAATATACAATATAAAACAAAAGTTATAGTATAAAACAAGAAAAAAATTCTTCGAGTGATGCTTTACATCATCGAGTCAGTTGTTGGTTTTTGTGATTTTGATGTGTTCCCACGGACAAATTAGAGTATTCTATATTTTGTGTATATATAATAAACTGCTTTGGAGGCTAGTGATGTAGATGTAGTAATAGTAATGTTAATTATTTAGTTAAAGTACAAAGTATTGTCTGTTCTGTAGGGAATGTAAACAATGACTAACGACCTTAATATAGTTTTATTGTGATAGTTTTAATAAAGAAACTGTATCAAGAAAGCATTAGATAATAAGCTGTTAGTTATGGGCATATTTTTAGATTTAACTAAGGCCATTGATGTAATAAATCATGAATTACTGCTTGCCAAATTGGAGGTGTATGAACTTAGAGGGAAAATACACTCATGGATGAATTCACATCTTACTGGTAGAACACAATTTGTAGACGTAAAGCATTTAGATCAAAAGACCACACATATAAAGCCGTTTGCTTCATAACGCAAAAAAAAACTTTTCGTTGCAAAATAAGTGCAATTAACATGGGAATTAAAATACGTAACAGCTTGCCCCCTGAATTAAAAAGAATAGAAGTTCTGGAGTTTTTAAAAATAAATACAAAAGTTGTTTAGTACAAAACTGTTTTTATTCTCTGCAGGAGTTTTTTAATAACAATGATGGACAGTAGATTGCTGGCTCTGGTTGGTTCTGATGTGGTGTGGATGTATATAGATGCTATAAGTGTATGCATTGTTTTATATTGGATTGTTGGGAGATGTCATCCTTGGCTGCTAGTTTCAGCTGGGGGACATTGATCCTAAGATTACTGTATTGTTCGTAGTCTTTGTGTATAATGTTGTAACTTTTTAAGAGTTGTTGACTTGTAGTGTTTTAGACAGCTTAAACTGACTTGTCCAATTGTACTTGTGTAACAGTTTATGGATGTAAATAAATTATGAATTATGGAAGAAGTGAATGTTGAAGTTTTTCAGCTCTGTCCCCCTTTAGCAACTTGACACACATTACTCTAAATGAAAAGTTTCAAAGGCTGTGGGCACGGAGAGGTAGCCAAGTTCCTAGGTTCCTAGATTTAATTTTCTGAGAGTCAATAAACAATGAAGTTTATGGAGCCAATGGGCATGCAGGCAGCACTGAAACATTAAACCATGTGTTTCCAGCAGTTACTGATACAGCATGTTCCACTAGAACTTCATTATCTGCCCATAAAACTACGCAGAGTTACAACCCAGAAGACCATAATCTTAGTTACAGTACTTTGTTTTGTATGAAAAACAGAGGTTGTCACTTTTACATGTATAACTTTCTGATGGATTTTAGGGAGCTGTTCCTTTGCATAAAAAGTGACACCAAAAGCATGTATACTTTATAGAATTTCCAAAATCACAGCTTACCATCCAGAAGTTCATATATAAGAACAAAATTATTCTTAATATTCTCCTCAGAAATCTTTCCAAAATATGACTGCATAACATCAATGATTTTCAGAAGAAATTCAAACACCATTGCAGCATTCACATTTTGTTTGGTCACAGCAGCCAGCCAGATGTTTGCTCGCTGAAAACAGAGACACAAAGCATTCAAACACCAGTCTATGCCAAATTTCATAAACCTCTGTATTTTTTATCACTTCAAGCTGTATCACTGTATTTGTATTTCATAATTTATCAGTCTATAGGGATGTATTAGGATATATCCTTTCTGGTATGTATAATGACTGCATCAGTTGCAACCTATCCTATTCAGTCAGCTGAATCACTTGGTCCAGTGATTGAGTCTAGCTCTTTCTAACGGACCCAACAGAATAGGTGTTTTCCTTCACATGAGGACGGAAACAGATCCAGTTTCCGAAACGTCGTGTTTTTATTAGTTATCTTAACAACCACGATGATGGATAAAGTCCAAAAACCCAATATATCAGTGTGTTATACACCATCGTCAGATAGGATAGTAACTATCCTTCACTTTGTTTGGAATAGAACATTTAATAATTCATTTTATTTGTCTGCATATACACTGTTTAATTCAACATGCTGCAGTTCTTGTTTTCTGTTGGTCGATGTGGTTACTTCTATCTCCTCTGGATTTATCCACATATTTAAGACTTTAAGATTCATTCTCATACACAGCTACTCCATTGATCTTCAATTGTGGAAAATCATATATGTATATGACAAAAATTATCTTCAGATTACTGAAAGAAATTCCATGAACTGATCCCCTCCAATCTCCCGTATGATGTTATACTCCATCCTCCACATCTCCGTCCAACTAATATTACCCCCTCCAGCATACTAGCTCATATAGCATTCTCCTCCAGTCATCTAGCCCTTCCATTCATAGAATGCTGATAGTGATAACCATGAGATAACCCTTGCTGGTGACAAATGCTTTGGACTGGTTGACACATGGCAGAGAGAGCTTGGGAGGAATACAACAGTAAGCAGAAAGGGGGTAACTTGCAATGCCATCGTCACCTTCATTTATGGGAGTTCTTTCAATCATCTCTATATAGAGGACAAAGCACAGAGTCATAGAAGACTCTGTGTTTGAAAGGAAGGCTTTTACAGAGTTAATCATTATATTACTTACATTAATAATGAAAGGGCAAGCACAATAGATCATTGAAGGTCGCAGTGTGATGGCCGGATTTTATGGTCCGCCCCTTACACACATACACATACATTAATTACACATTAGTAATGGGTTAACTATTCTTCCTGTGTCCTATTTGTGCAGTAAAATATAATAACATTCTCTATGGCACCATAAATCCCATACTTACTTACTTACTTATGGAGCTGAGCCCTTCTGGAGGAGCTGTCAATTCTGCAGCTACTCAAGAATTTCCTAGCATTTTATGGAACCCGAAGGTTCATTACTGTGTTCACAAAAGCCCTCCAATGGTCCATATCCTGAGCCAGATCAATCCAATCAATACCATCCCACCCTATCCCTCTAAGATTCATTTTAATATTGTCCACCCACCTATGCCTTGGTCTTCCCAGTGGTCTCTTTCCTTCTGGCTTTCCCACCAATATCCTATATGCATTCCTTGTCTCCCCCATTCATGCTACATGACCTGCCCACCTCATCCTCCTTGACTTGATCATTCTAATTATACTTGGAGAAGAGTACAAGTTATGAAGCTCCTCATTATGCAGTTTTCTCCAACCTCCTGTCACTTCATCTCTCTTTGGTCCAAATATCCTCCTCAACACCCTGTTTTTGAACACCCTCAGTCTATGTTCCTCCCTTAACCATAAATCCCATAGCGACAAAAAAACTTTCAAGAAGTATTTTATTCTCAAATGAATCAAAAGCTCTTCTAGATCCAAAAGAACAACTAATCTGTGATTACCGACCATGTGTCTAAGACTCTTCAGCACGCATCATAAATTATGACTTCACCTTCCATCACAAAACATGTTGTGCTCATATAGTGCAACTGGATTAATTTGAACAAATACATGCTTTAAACTAATAGCGCAGTTTTCTCACATCAAATTTCAATCAAATCCATCAAGTGACTCGATAAATTAACTACAAACTGATATTGAAATGAAGTGCAGAATACACGACTCATAACCTCATTAAAGAACTAAGGAATTAACCCTCATTGGGCTTGAACAAATGGCATACCTTGATATGGAAAAATGAAGTTCTAGCAATGTTTGTAACTGGAGAACGAACTTGTTGACGGGCGTGAATAACATTAACTCGAAATGCGTCCACAGCATTTCGCCCAATGTCATCTCGATATACCCTTGATATCAACACTTCTCCTTTATGATTATATACAAACAAACCTCCAATCATGGTAGTGGGTTGCTTGTAGCGCTACTACTGTCAATACCTGAAAAAAAAAAAATTGTACGAAAAGATGTGTAACTCCACAGACAACTGCTCTTCGGAAACTAGTTTCATCGAGCCATTTAAGAAACTCCCTGTGTTTTATGGAAAGTCAAATCTCATTACCATGTTTACAGGATAATACCTCTGAAGCCTATCCCGAATCAGAAGAATCCATTCCACAGTCTTAAAACACATGAATATTAGAATCCACTCCACACTCTTAAAAAAAAAGAACCTACGTTATCCACATTAATATTCGGAGTTTCGAGCTACACTTCTGTATCTATTTGAAATTTTTCATCACGCATGCTACATGCCTCATCCATCTCACTCTTCTTGATTTCAAAGCCTTAATATCTAAACAACACAACCATTTTAAATGCAAAATATACACATATTTCCAGTACGAGCATTAATTTTACGAAAGCGAAGTTGTAGAAACCTCTACAACTGAATTTTCGTCCTCCACTTTACAGATTTTTTACGAGCATTTTAATACCAAAATCTGGGCATACCGTAACCTCTTTCTTCTAAAGGATACTTATTTGCGAAAAAATCAAGAAGAAAGTTTAAACAAATATTTTCTGCTAACCACCGACTGAACCGAAAAACACCATACCAGCTTCTGCACAGCCGAAACCGCCGAAACTTCAACCATGAAACCAAACGTCTTACCTCACCATCACCATCACCATATTGATCTCCGCCCACAAAAATGGCCGCTTTCGTTTCCGGCAGCAGTCAAATCAAAACGCATTAATTTACAATTCAATTTAAAGAAAATTACAGTATAGTTAGCTTTATTTTATTATCTATCAATATCACAAGTAGTCAATTTGAATTGCGGTCAAATGACTAGATTAGTGTTTTAAACGTCGAGCTCAGCACACGGGGACACGGCCTAATAAACCGTGGCTAAGCATAATTGTGGAAGGCTGCGGACAGTTGAATCGGAATGAGTGGAGGGTGTTCTAGACTTATTTATTTGGTTATAGTACTAATATGAAATTGTGATTCTTTCACTTAAGGATTAATCATGGCTGATAATAATTACACTTCTGGAATTATAGAAAAACAGTCACCTAAGCCAAGAGAAGATCTTGTAGGCTATAATGTTTACTTTACAATATCTTGTATCCTTTAGCAATTATGTAGTTGTTAGTTACTTGTTGTAACTTGTTGTTACTTGTTACTTTTATTGTTACTTGGTTATTTCATGAAGTTTCATAAACGTGAAGGTGGTGCATTATCCCCGTGATACACTTGTAAAACGTTGACAACGAAATGTTAGATTCACTTCCGACACGGATATTAGAATCTTTTCTCGCAGAGGGCCAGAAGTGTGCTGCTGTCCAGCCAACATAATGTATGTAGCAGAGGGAGACATGTACCTCGGGTATAAAGTGGTCAGAGCGCAGATCTGTTGACCTCCGTTCGAAGTTGAGATTAATTCGTGGGAGGTTTAACTTTCATGGCCCTATACGCGTTGGCTGTGCACAGACAAAATTATACCTTTACTTCATCATGTATATGGAGATTTTGGGCCTTTTCGTGAATTCAACCCCGCCCCCCTTGCTCTGGACAAGCATGTTTGCATATAAAGTAGAACGTAAAATACAAGTAATGTGTCTAAATTAAAATATCCCACATTAAGAATTTAAAATATGTTCTTTCATTTCATTTATTCACCTTCCATAAATCCTGTCGAGAGTACATTTTCATGCAGATATGGAGATCGTTCTAGTTACAGTCACAACTAAGGATTACAGTTGTCATCCAATAGCATACACATTTGTATAAAATACTGATAAACATATACAATATAATAAATAAGTTAATTGTAGTAGTAAAAGTAATGGCAAACCTTATACAATTTGTACAGTTTTATACAAGTCTGTTAATTAAAAATTCAATAGTTAAAACACAATGTCATTAATGATAAGATATTTAAGCATCCTGTTGCACTCCATACGATACATGATACAAACTCTGTCTTCAGTGCAAACCATATATTATAGGTCTTTCGTTTTGCTCTCCTTTACACACTACATGTTTCGGCCACAAACGGCCATCATCAGCATTTAAAATTTAAAAACACAGGTCTTTCTGATTGTTCCTTTCGTCGTTATTACCAAAATCTACTTCGTTGATGTCTTTGCTATTTACACACGTCAATTTTGATTTCTCTGAATTAGCACTTTTAAAATCTTCAGTTCTAATTTTAAAATCTTTTCAATTTTCATCTAAATTTTAAATTTAAAAGTGTCAGGGTTACTCGCCCTATGTCTATAGTGCTGCAGCGGCTACTTCTTGTTTCTAGTACTGTACCGGTGTTATCTGTAATATACAAATATTCGTATTACTATCTTATGTACTTAATGTTTTCTTATGTGTTTAACACCAGATACAAAGAACATATACATGATATTAGAAATAATAATAGCAATTCCGGGTACTCAAATCACATACTAAATACAGGACATGCATATGGAACAATAACAGAGGTAATGGAAGTTGTAACAACAGGAAAGAAGGGCAGACATTTGAATACATTAGAGAAATACCATATATATAAGATAAGTAAGAAAGGCCTACACATGAATGACACACACATAGAAACACACAATCCCATATTTCAAATGATACACGAAATCTATACAGACTAACGGTACCTCCCTCTCCCCAATACCCATTCCCCTCCTACACTCACCAACATAAAACACAGCACACGTAGTAAAGACAAGCAAGTAAAGACAAGAGTAAGTACAAATAACAGTATAAACACATAAGAAAACATTAAGTACATAAGATACTAATACGAATATTTGTATATTACAGATAACACCGGTACAGTACTAGAAACAAGAAGTAGCCGCTGCAGCACTATAGACATAGGGCGAGTAACCCTGACACTTTTAAATTTAAAATTTAGAGGAAAATTAAAAAGATTTTAAAATTAGAACTGAAGATTTTATAAGTGCTAATTCAGAGAAATCAACATTGACGTGTGTAAATAACAAAGATATCAACGAAGTAGATTTTGGTAATAGTGACGAAAGGAACAATCAGAAAGACCTGTGTTTTTAAATTTTAAATGTTAAACTAAGTGCAGTGTGACAGATACGTGAGTAATACACCTGATGATGGCCGTTTGTGGCCGAAACATGTAGTGTGTAAAGGAGAGCAAAACGAGAGACCTATAATATATAGTTTGCACTGAAGACAGAGTTTGTATCATGTATCATCATTAATGAGTTTTGTATAACATACATTAATTATATAATAAACTGAAATAAACACTAGTATGCAGTAATATACACATTGTGTATATCTAAAATAAGCATCTAAAAATCAGAACACAGCCTGACAATCTTGCCTTCTTTTAATTGTAAAGCAAGACAACTACTTGCATCTTAAAAAGATTTATAACCAAAATATTCTTGTAAAGAATAAAAGGAATGTAAATATAAAAATTGTTTTAATTGTACCTCAAAACTTTTAGTGTCACTCCATAATATATTGTGGTAGATTATTATAGACCTTTGTTCCTAAACAGTAAACTCCCTTTTGGTATTTACTCAAATTTACAAGAGGCTAATGGAGATTATTTTGCTGTCTGGTATTTATTCTATGAATCTCTGAATTTGTTTTTGTTTTTTATCACAAAGAGTATAAGAGATAGTATGTACTGAGATGCCAGAAGTAAGATTTAGAATTCTCTAAATAAGTTCCTGCATGAATCCCTCCTTCTGCATCCCAACATAATTCTAATTATATTGTTTTGCATTCTAAAAATTTTTATACTTCGGGGTGAGTTTTAAGTATACATTTCCATAATCTGGAAAACTAGCAAGAACATGTGTGGCGCAGTCTGATTGTAGACAGGGCAGAGTAATTTCCACTGTGTAACAGAAATTGAATTAATTTCAGATAGGAACAGCTATCAAGTTTCTGCAAAATCCAAATGTCCAAAAAAGTTCCCTGGCAAGTCAGCAGGCATTTTTGAAAAGAAAGGGTCTCACAGATGAAGAAGTGCATATTGCTTGTGAACGTGCAGGTGCCATTGGAAGCCCAAGCCATAATGGAGTAAGCATTCTTATTTATACCTCATAAAGGTTTGAGAGTTGTAAATTAATAAAGTGCAGAAATCCAAGACATGTTCTGTGAAACTAATGGAAATGAATGGCAGCACTGTGGTGACAAAAATGCTCAATAAATTAGTGGTATTTTAGAACAGTCATCATTTCTCTGTTCTAGGTACCTTTCTTCATAGTCATAATATGAGTTTGTTTTGTAAATATTAACAGTAATTTTAAAAAAAAGTTCACTCTGCAAACGAACTGGTAACTGTAGGTGTAATATTCTCTGCTTTCAGCAGTTACAGACAGTGCTTCAACATACAGCTGCACCAGTGGCACCTCCATCTTACATGTTGCCACCTCCATCTCATTGGTCCCGGTTTCGAGATGTTGTAAATACAATTGCAGTCATAGGAGGCATAACATATGGATTGTATCTGTTATATAAGGTACAGCCCATCCTATCTCTCTAAGATCCATTCTAATATTGTCCACCCACCTACAACTTGGTCTTCCCTGTGGTCTCTTTCCTTCTGGCTTTCCCACCAATATACTATATACATGACCTGCACACCTCATCCTCCTTCACTTGATCATTCTAATTATACTCGTACTTGGAGAAGAGTACAAGTTATGAAGCTCCTCATTATGCAGTTTTCTCCAGCCTCCTGTCACTTCATCCCTCTGCAGTCCAAATACTCTCAGTCTATGTTCCTCCCTTAATGGTGGAGACCAAGTTTCACACCCATACAGAACCACAGGCAAAATTATAGTTTTGTATATTCTAATTTTAATGTTTTTGGACAACAGACGAGAAGACAAAAGGTTCTGGACTGAATGGTAGCAAGCATTCCCCGAGTTCAGTTGCCTCTTAATTTCCTCCTGAATCAGGTTTCAATCTGCTATCATTGTTCCCACCTATCTGAACTGTGCCACATTTTCAAAACATCTGCTTCCTATCTTTATGTCATGATTTTGCCCTGCATTTTGGTGACGAGACAGCAACATATATTTGGTTTTCTCTGTATTTACTTCTAGATCAACCTCTTTACTTGCATCAGTTAAAGTTTGTGTGTTTTTTCTTTATGGTATCTACATTATCACCCAGTAGATTAACATCATCAGTGTAGACCAACAGCTGGTGTGTCTCGTTTAATTTCCCTGGACCTTCGCAATTGCATATTCTAAAGCAATGTCGTAAAGGAGTGGCGATAAAGCATCTCCTTGTTTTAGACCATTCTAGATAGGAGATTTATCAAAATTTTACCTACACGGACTCTACTATACGTTTCGTTTAAACACATTTTAATCAACCTAACTAGTTTCATGGGTATCCCAAAGTCTATTAGAATATTGTACAATACTTCCCTCCTAACTGAATCATAGGCTTTTTTGTAGTCTATGAATAGCTGACGTAATGTCTCATCGTACTCCCATTTTTTCTCCAATATCTGATGAATGCAAAAGATCTGATCTGTAGTTGACCTGTTACGTCGAAACCCACACTGATGATCCCCAATAATTTCATCTATATATGGACTTAACCTTGAAAGAATATTGAACAAAATTTTATATGAAGTTGATAGCAGTGATATCCCCTGATAATTACTACAGTCAGTTTTACCACCCTTGTGAACTGGTACAATAATAGACTCCTTCCACTGATCAGGCAATTTTTCCTTATGCCAAATAGAAGTAATTAGATTGTGGATCTTAGAACATAATATTTCGCCTCCTGCTTGAATAAGTTCTGCTGGAATTTGATCACTACCTGGCGATTTATACTGTTTCAATTTTGCAATAGCACTTTCAACCTCAGAAGGTTGTTTGACAGTTATGATCTTATTTTTATGGGGCTCTCTCTGACGAGAGGACGGGTCCGACTTTTGTCTCAAGGGACTCGGACCCGAGAAAGACTGCGCTGACAAGGACCAGTAGTAAATACAAAAGACAGACATGGATTGAACCCCCTTACATCATAGGCCTCTCGCTGACCACACAGAAAACAGCCTATATTGTTTGATGTGTTTACAGACCAATTGCCTAGCAATGGTCACTGCACAGACTCCACTGTTGCGTGACATCACAGCCTAGCGGTGTGGGGTGTTTACCGAACGTTGCATAGTGATGGGATGAGTGGGGATATGTGATGTTGCTCGCGGAAACGCAGAGTTCACATGACCCCTACTTCCTGTTACGCTATCCAAGCGTTCACAGAGTTGTTGCCTAGCAATGTGCCAATACAATCTGAAACTCTCCCATTGTGCGCGTGCCCCCAGGCGTTTGTGACTCAACAGTTCATGCATAGAGCAAATACGCCAAATTGCTCCCTCCTTAAGGCTATAAAGTAAAGGTATCCCTGTAACAGGCCGTGGAGGCCCATATGGTTGTGAGATGTTGAGGTTCCCACATTTTCTAGACAGTCGGCTCATAGATGACGGCAAGGTTGTCAGCCTTATGTGCCAGCTGCTCTTTACCCCTCCAAGAATATTCCTGGTACTCATTTCTGTCAGAGGCTGAGTCGACCCCAGGGCCATAGTTGCGGCTAGAAGGATTAGGTCACTTTAAAAAAAAAAAGTAAATGACCTCATAGGGAGTTCAATCTGCAACCTTCCCTCTTGTAGCATAGTGCCTCAACGAACTACGCTACCGCGTGCCCCCCATAAGGCTGTTCATCCCGAATAGCCAAACGCTGCATCCTCGTTCCTTTTCTTCGCGTGTCTCTTGTGGTGTTCATTCTACCGCATCTGTCCCCTGCTACAAGGTGCTTGTCCTGAGCAACTCCATGGTAGGTCGCAAGCCGGTCCAGTTGTACTACCAGTCACTCGATGTTTTTGTCATCATTCATTCTCCATTCATGCCGGAGAGGCTGGTCTTTCTACATTATCGGTTCCTCCTCTGCTTGCAGTCTCTTTTTCCGTTTTGGAGGGGGTAAACCCCTCCACAAGGTCCAGTCCACAATCTATTCCGGCTATTCGCTTCGCGATCTCCAGTCCAGTCATCTTCCTATATGTCTTGTTAGATTTTTTTTTTTCTGTTGTGGATACTGTCTGCAGTTTTTCACCTTAGCCTCGGATGTAGCAGCTCTTCTACATCTCGGCTCCTTATGCCCTTGCTGCATTCCAGTTTCGGTTGACTTCTCCTTTCAAATGTCTGTCCTCTCAGGGTTTCTCTCTCTGCCCCTGAACCAGTTTCTTCTGACGATTCCTTTGCGCCGTGTCACTTTCGCACTGCTGCTCGTCTCTCTGCGGGCGACGGCCAATCTCGTCTGGGATCCACACTTTTCACTTTTCCCTTGTATGCTTCGGTTTCTGGCGGCATCCCACAGCCAGATTTCGGTCCCTATGCCTCTTCTTCAGTTCCACCATCACTGTGACGTCTTCTACGGGGACCTCTTCTTGTTGTACCGCCTCAGGTTTCGTTTCCACTGAGGTCAGTTTCTTCTCTTCCAGATGTGCCTCCGTCATTTCTCGGCAGGCCATTGTCTCTTTGTGACCGGCGTCCATCTCTTCTTGCCAGGCTTTCATGTTGGCCAGCAACTCTTTGTGACGTTGCTCACAGAAATGCAGTTCACGTGACCCCTACTTCCTGTTGCACTATCCAAGCGTTCATAGAGTTGTCGCCTAGCAGTGCTGCGATACAATCTCCAACTCTCCTGTTGTGCATGTGTCCCAAGGCCTCTGTTGCTCAACAGTTCCTGCATAGAGCAAATACGCAACAATATATTAACACCGCTCTTTTCCAACCAGCATTTATAATGTCAGCACAGTCGGAATTGTGCTATCCCTGCTACACCAGTTTCTACCTTAGGAGAGTGTGATGGCCACTGTAAGTTGTCCTCACAGAACGAACTAAGATAAGTTGGTGTAGGTACGGGAAACTAGCTGGGTCAGTTACCAGGAGGCTCGGGATAGCGACGCCGAATTAAGCAGTATTCTGGGAGTTGATCCAGCTTGATGTTGATTCACTTATTGTTCTCCAAACCACACTGTTTAATTTATTGTACATTAATGCTTACAATTACAATTTATTTATTGATCTGCTAATTAGGTCTCGGAGTGTGCAAGGATTACGTCCGTACACTTCAGAATATGGTGAAAGACTAGCTGCATGAAAATGGCTTGCACATCCCATGCTGGGAATTCAAAAAAATTCTAATTCTCCACGCTACAAACATATATGTGCGATCCCATCTCCTGAAGGGAAGTTTGAACGAGGCAACTCAGTCATAATGGCCCTTGAATGGTCCTCATTCACAGGCAATTATAACAAGTCTTGACATGGCTTTTTCACTGACTTTTGTAGCATGTCTGGTTTCCTGTACCTGAGCAAAATTAATGACTGCTCTGCTTAATGTCAGAACTCCAGACTCCTTGGCCCTGCCAGAATCCAGAAATTTCCACATAAAGACGGTATTGCACGTCCCAAACAATGAATACAGTGTTGTAGATCACGATAAAGTTCCAGTAATATCAAAATATCAGACTTTCAATTTAAAATTACTGAGAATCAATTTGTAAATAAAGTTCACTGTCATTTATAATCATCCATAAAAATAAGGGCTACAACTGATCAGCGTCAATATATATACTTTCAGAAATTTGTAGAACCATTCTTATTTGGGATAAAAGAGAAACAGAAGACTATTGAAGATTTAATATCAGAACTGAATGAAGGAATAAGAAAGGTTCATACAGATCTGGAGAGAATTAGTGACCAACAGCAGCAACAGCCCGAACAGAGCAGTTCCGCTTCCAAACAAATCCAGGAGTTGAAAGCAGAAATAGCAACAGTCAAAGGACTTCTACTCAGCAGGTTAGTATTTATTACCTTATCAGGTGTGGATGGGTGAGGTAAGTGTTGACAGGCTTTCTTGAGTAGATCCAAAATAAGGTCCTCTTAAGTCTTAAGTTTTGAAAAATTAATATGCATGGGACAAGATATCGTAACTGTTGGATATTCCAACACTGGAATATGGCTCTTGACCAAAAACTGCATTATGGAATGAGCTTGTCACTGTTATAATACAATATTTGTTTGGCCAAAGGTTCAGGTTTATTCATTAACTGGGCTAGTGTAAGTTTTCCAAAACATCGAGGTATTTTCATCAGTTGTGTATTTGTCTGGAGTAATACATTCAGGAGGTTGTCCCTTTGGCCCTAAAAAAAAAAAAAGCACATAAACATAATTTTGAACTTCAGTTCTGATATAGGTACTTTTTCCAGTCTGAAAGCAGATTTCGTGTTCAGAAATGAAAATGAATGGTCCATGTAATTTCTGAATGTTCAACTGCATCTCATTCTTCAATCCACACATAAACCTATGCTCTTCACATTATTTTATCTACTTCAACTTTGTAACTGTCCATGACATTTTCCAAAAATCTGATTAAAAGTAACGATACTGATTCACTGTTCTCATTTCATTACAAAGAAATCAAAGATGACATCAATAAAATTAAAGCTATTTCAAAAGATACTGAAGGCAAATTATATTATTACACAGCACCTGTAACTCTTACAATCATTTGTTCCACCTTGCTTGTGCTGTCACCTATCAAAGAAATCAGTTTGATTACTTTGCCAGACTTAATATATAATTATTGTCCCACATGTCAACAAATTCAGTCATTGTGTCATCTGTTTTAATTCAGAAACCCCTTATCTTTAGATCATACTGCTCTAACCATGTAAGGAAGGGTTGATTTTAATTGTTTGTTTACAGTTTATTTAATGCCATTGTGAGTAGTTCAGACTATGTACTGTCAAATGATAGGAGATTGGAAAGGATGTGGTCTTAGCCTAATTTGAGGTGCTATCCCAGTATCTGCCTTGAGGGACTGAGGAAGACTATGAAAGACCTCACAACAGCTGGTCTTCTAACAGATTTGAACCTGGAACCTCCCAAATATGATGCAGAAGTACTATCCATTCAGCCATAATGTTCAGTGGAATGGTTTGTTATAGGTCATTTTTCAATTAAGTTTTATATAATTAAATGCGGGTAAATAGTAGAGTAAGCAGGACATAAAGAAATAACATAATTGAAGGAAAGCATCCAGTAGTGTTAAATGAAATCTCACTGTAAATGGGAAAATGCTGTATTAAATTGATAACTTAGTGATCTTGAAGTATAAGAGAAACCATATATTAACAGTTGAATACTGGTGAAATAAGTACCAATTAAATCAGTTGAAAAGAACTGTAACTCCAATACATGACAATGGCTCAACTTTTCTTTTTCATTCCAGGCATCAGTTTCCAGCTGCTGCTACCAGCAATCCACTGGTTCCTCCTTCCATTCCTGCATGGCAGTTATCATCATCCCCCCAAGTAACTGATGGTGATGAGGGAGAACAAGGACAGAAAGGAGATGGTGATATAGAAGTGTGCACAAGTGGCTCAGGCTCTAGTGAAAATGAAGTTGTCACCAACACTGGCAGTGATAGCAGCCTTGAAATGATCAGGGAATAGAAGGGGGGGGGGGCAGAGCCAAAGATGTGTATGGCTTCCAACACTGCTGGTATCAGCCACTGAGAACAAAAAGCAGTTAAAATGCTCCAAGTTCGGAAAGGGTGATCAACAACTGATGATGCTTCAGAAAGAACTGTCATGTGATGCTAACCAAAAAGAAAGCTTTTATAAACTCTATAAACGTGAATGCTACGTATACATTCAGTACAAATATATGTGGACATGAAAAGAGAAATAAAGAATACAGACACTTCAAATAATTTGCTTTGTTTTTCCACTCTTAATGCTTGAAATGAAGAAAAAGCACCATAGAAAGTTTTATTTGTACTGCGGTGTCATGTTATTTTGTCCATTCTGTCTTTCCAGTGCATCACAACAATTATAATAACATGATGATTTACATAAACAAAAACATTCAGCAGTGTAATTTTTTTTCTGGCTAAAATGAAGATGGAGACAATATGAGAAACGATCAGTACTTTTGTTTTACTAACAATTATGACAAAAAGCTAGTCTAAGTATTTACAGCATAAATGTCATCTTAACATTCCCTTTTTCTTTACACAATTACAATGAAAACTGAGTATGTCTAAAAAGGGAGGACTCAAATCACTGGCTTCTGGAAAAAAGACATGGGTCTGCAGAATTGTAATCCTGCTATATCAATTGGTCTCTAAAACCTGTATGAACACACAATTAAAATTACTAACAATACATAATCACCACATTCATAAAAGGGGACGTTCTTAATCCCCTTCTTTTGGAAGCATGTTATCCTTACAGCTTACTTTTAAAACACAGAAACAGGTCCCTACAGAATCAACATATTAGTGCCTTAAAATACAGAACACCAAACAAAATTATACTTCTCAATACAGCAGTATTTAGGGTCTTGTACCACATTACATTCAGGTTAGGATATCACAACTCAGTTCCAAAATGTCACAAAGAACCATTATTTAATCTCTTGGTCAATAATAAGCAAGATATTTTACAACCCAGCATAACAGTACAAAAGCCCCATATACAGGGTATACACAAAAGAATGGTGTGGTTTCAAAAGTTAATAAATTTATTTCTCAACTTACACAGTCAAAACGTACACCGTCAGTGGTGGCAACTGTCCAAGTTTCTCTTGCGTTAATTATAAACCTCCAATGTGTGCACACTGGATCACAAGCGATACATGCACACGGTAATCAAACTCTGCTGCAAATGGAGATAACCTTCTCCCTCGGCCACCCCGTTCGCCAGTTCTTACACCGTGCTATTTCTTTCTTTGGGGGTTCGTAAAAGACAGCATTTATGTACCACCATTGCCCACATCCATCCATGAATTTCGTGATCAGATAACGCATGCACTGCAGACCATTACAGCGGACATGCTACACTGGGCCTGGGATGAGACTGATTACCGTGTGGATGTACGTCGTTTGACCCAGGGTACATACATTGAAGGTTTCTAATTAACGCGTGAGAAACTTGGACAGTTGCCGCATCTGACAGTGTATGTTGTGCCCGTGTAAGTTGAGAAATAAATGTCTTATTAACTTTTGAAACTGCACCATCTTTTGTGTATACACTGTACTGCTGTGCCATTAATCTCCTTTATCCAAATTAGATCTGCATCAAATGGTAAACCAAAAGTCAATGTCAAAGAAGACTAGCATTTATGTTTGTTTGTTTCTGACAGACTCATTTTAGTTTACAAGTAACATTTATACAGGGAAGTCCTGTATATGGACATACGATATTAAAAAAAATCACACATTACAAATTTACAGGGCTTTTCTTTTTATTAACATTACAATTAGTCTACATGTGCTCAAATATGGATTTGTCTACTACTATCTGAACTTAATCCCTCTCACAGATAAGAATGAAATTTTACCATCTACAGCCACTGAACTGTATTTACAAAAGTGATTCACAGGGATGCCAAATAATACACTGTTAAAATCCCAAATCTCAAAATCTTCATTCCTTTAAGATTTAAAAATACCATACAAATAGGTACCATAAGAAATTGTAAAGTTCTTTCTCCCCAAATGAAGTGAGTGGTAACATGAATCAATCTCAATCAAGTGCATTATATATATATATATATATATATAACACAATCATCCATGAGTGGTCATTCAAGCGGTGAAATTTAATGGTAGAAGCCCAATGTAATGAGTATGATCTATAAAGGGAAGTGAATTCTAATGAGCATTTTATTATACACTTTAATATGTTAAGCAGAGCAGTAGTCTTTGGTTTTAATGAAAGATCATTCTTGTAACTGTGGGTCCTGTGCAAAAAGGATGTGGTTTAACTTTAAGTAACTTTTGAAAAATAGCCAAAAACATCTTTCAATGCTTATTTAAAACCACAGCATGGCTCCATTTTCCCTGCAACAGTGGAATTAATCACTTGACCCACACTTCCATCCATCAGTAGTGGGAAATTACATATTGTCTACATATGGAAAAATGTAAACTAAATTTGAGCCAGAAATGGATCTACCCCACTTTTGCATTGGATCCTTCTATTTCCTTTATAACAAGTGCTTTTGCCTCTTTTGTTTCACATAAACATTTGATAACTGGAATGTGTCTGCCCTTGATGCTCTCTGCAATGAGTCGCGTCAGCTTGTCCTTGCCTCGAGGATTAAGATGCAAACAATGCACAGTATTGTAACATGTTGCGCGACTGAGAACCCCCCTCCTCTCCACGGTAACGTAGCGCTCCCCGCCACTCCCCTCCGCGGTGACGTCACGCGGTGACGTAACGCGCAACGCTAACGTAACCGTAATCAACGTCCTACTGTGACGTGGCACTCATTACGCCACAGGCAAGCACTGCAGCTATATAAGTGGATGCACAGTGCGTATCGATCAGTTCGAGTTCGAGTTCCAGTGTGGCTACCGCCGAAGACATTCCGAGTTATAAAGTAACAGCCAGCCGACTACAAGTTGGAGTATAGCAGCCGTCGCGGAAAGAAGATCCGGACGTGTGTGTAATTGTGTAATTGGGAGCGTGTGATACAGTGATACAAAGCTCCCCTACGGTAAACGTGTGGACTACTGAAGACAGAGTGAACTGATTTGCGCATAGGGTTATAAGTCGTGAAACCCCGCAACAGTGTCGACAGATTAATGCGATTAGGGTTATAAAGTGTGAAACCCCGCAACTGTGTGATAATTAATTGTAGCCGTTAGTTGTAGATTGTTAAATAAACCCAATTAACCATCTCTACGGCGTCTTCAGTGACGTAAACACGTTACACTGGTGTCAGAAGTGGGATCAGTAACGAAACACGTTACAGTATTCTCATATGCATATGCCTTGGTAAAGCTGCACTATTTGTCACCCTGCATGGTTTGTCCATTATGTTCTATCCCCTCTCTTAGACATATTCTGTTCGATAAAGGATATAAACTCCGTCCCAAGTGCAAACAATATATTATATGTCCTTGATCTTGCTCTCCTTTACACTACATGTTTCGGCCTCAAACGGCCATCATCAGGTGCGTACTCTCACGTTGCTGTTACACTGCACTTAGTTTAAAATTCAACATTTAAAAAACACATTGTTCCCTTCTTTGTTATTATGAACATCTACTTCGTTGATATCTGTCTGGTTTATAGATTATTTTACACACGTTAATTTTGATTTTCCTGTAGTAGCACTATAAAATCTTTAGTTCTAATTTTAAAATCCTTTAAAAATTTCCTCTAAATTTTAAAATTTAAAATTGTTAGGGTTACTTGCCCTATGTCTAAAGGATTTTAAAATTAGAACTAAAGATTTTATAGTGCTACTACAGGAAAATCAAAATTAACGTGTGTAAAATAATCTATAAACCAGACAGATATCAACGAAGTAGATGTTCATAATAACAAAGAAGGGAACAATGTGTTTTTTAAATGTTAAATTTTAAACTAAATGCAGTGTAACAGCAACGTGAGTGTATACACCTGATGATGGCCGTTTGAGGCCGAAACATGTAGTATAAAGGAGAGCAAGATCAAGGACATATAATATATTGTTTGCACTTGGGACGGAGTTTATATCATTTATCGTGTAGAGCGCAACAGGATGCTTAAATATAATATATTCTGTTCTTTTGGATGGTGTCATGTGGATGGACAAGTAAATTTCGTTAGATGATGCATACAGAGGTATATGTCAGTTTTCTGCATGGCTTCGTGTAGTACACACTGTCTCATAATGGTTACTCCACACATTCATGTAAAGGAATCATCATGGTGAGAGTTACACCCTATCACACTACTGCTTCTCTATGCCATTTTCTCTTATTCCCTGTTTACATGGGTCTTCTATGGGACGAGTGTCAAAGTTTGCACAGAACAAATCTTAGTAAGCATGCCACAGAGTCATGGATCTACCTTGTGCATGTGAACAAAACCAAGTGCAGCCAATAGTGCTGCATGATTTAGTTCAAATAAAATCTCCACAAAAGGTGCTGACTAACCCACCTAAAGAAAAATACAGCACCATCACCAAACCAACCACTCCAACACTTTTTAAGGAATGTGGAAAAGCACAGGACATTTGTGTAGCATTTAAAGTATGCTTTGTGCCCTGGTGTCTGATGTAAATACAGGCCAGACATTCGCCACTGATTAATTCATGTCTACCAGCTTCTATTACTCCTATTCACAAAGAAGCAGCAAATCACATTATGCATGCCATCTCATTTTTCACAGGAAGAGTAGCAGCAGTCCTCAGCAGTAACACCCTGTGCATTCGCACTTAGTCATAACAATGAGACAAGATGTATTGTTCTCCAACAAAGAGAGAGGGAGGCAAGTGATGGGTAGACCTGGCCAAACTTTATCATTCTGCTATTCAGTTATGGGCACACACTGTACTCACACCAACAGTCCAAAAATCTTCTCGGTATTTTTGGCTTGAACAGTAAACATGGGTAGGTCTTGGTAATTACCTTGCCTTCTCTTCATTAGAAGACACTAGGATCTGTGTTTTCATAGTAATAAGAGACACGTCTTATTATAAAACTCTAAGAAACTGAGCTCCAACAGAGAAACAACACAAGGCATAAATACTCAATATTTCGGCTGTAAGTACAATCGCAAGTCAGTTATACACCAAAAAGTCACCATGTTTGTTGAATGGTTAATACCATACAGACAATTTCCACTACTGTGTTCATAATCAGTGTTAGTAAACTTGCAGACATTTTTTCTTTTGTGTATCAACTTCAAATCTGGTAATATGATTCACACAGTTTACATATTACAGAATATCTAATAATTTCCTTATAGACACTTTCTATCGTAAGATAACTATGCCATTTGTCTTTTTGAGTGATACACATTTCCAGGTGCTTAACTGCCTATAACAAGTATTTGTTACAGTGCTAATTTTTCTCCTGTTATGAATTCTCATTATAACAGACTTCCACTATATTTTATAACTCTGGAGAATTTAAATCTGGTTGCTGAACCTATTTTACATTAAATTTCTCACCAAACCCACAACAGAGCACTAAGTCTAACTGGCATCCCAGTAAATTCTCATAACACATTACACCAGTACATCTCATGATGTGCAAAAGGATAAGACTACTATTTTAATATATAATAAAGTTTTATTAACAAGTTAAAAAAACTTCAGGGACTTGTTTAACCAGTCCTAATATAACTATGTTTTCTGATACAGAAAACAATAATTGGTTATTTAAAAACTGAAAACTATATACTTGAATTCTAACATAATGTGCCAATGGTAATTGAGACAGTTTGTGCTTCACAACAAACCCTTCTCATTTGGAAACAGAATTAGAAACTGAGAAACCCTTCCTTAAATTAACAGGAATCAGAGGGTCTGAGGAAGGAACAGTCAATTCAAAACAGCACATTCACCATGAACTTCAACTTTTCAAATACATATCCATATCAGAGTTTTTAAAGCAGCAAGGTATGGTAAATCTTCTGTCTCCTGCTCTTACAACTTGTTTTTCTGACAAAGAACAAAAAGTAATTTTTTTACTTATCCCAATACACCTGGCTGTTGCCTGTTACTGTTACGATGTTCTGTACAACATGTTTTGTTTCACTCAATTCTGTACACAATGACTTTACCCAGAACTTAGGGTGAGGAGCAGAGCTAATGAACAACCAACTACAGTACTGGTTGAAATCCTGTCCACATTATATGAACCTGTAATGAGGAAATAATGCATAATTAATTATCAATGTAGTGCCTGTTTTGACATCAAGAATATATACCCAAAAAGATGGGCTTCTGTGTTAGTGTTATTCACCTTAGTTATATGGCAATTCCAGAGAATGGGCAGCTTAGTGAGTAAGCAAGCAGCTGCTTGACTGCTCTTTAAGAGAATCTTTATGTTGTTCTTCACATCATTTAGGTTTTCGCCCGATAAATTTAACAAATAAAACTGCATACTGAACAGCGTCATAATTTGTCCTCTTCGCTCAACATTTTATGGATGATCTAATCATGGGGGATGAGATGGGCAGTGCGTGTAACATACATGGCAGAGCTCATAAATATGTACAAGAGTTTGGTCAGGAAACCAGAGGGGAAAGACTTTTTTGAAGACAGGAGGGTAATATTAAAATGGATCTTATGGAAGCGGGATAGAGGTTTCATCTGGCTCAGGATAGGGTCCAGTGGGAGGCTCTTCCGATCACTGTAATGACCTTGTGGAGCCCACAAGAGGTAATTTCCTGATTAGCTGAGCAACTACAACCCTAGCCTTTCAAGGACTTTACTTTGTATAGTTAATATGAATATATGAATGGTCAATTCATCCATTCAGTTTCAGTTACTCTTAAATCTCTTCAACTTCCCTAATGGCATATTAAATTAAAACCAACATGGATGATGAACAGAATGAATGTCATGCTCAGAACTGACCATTAGACAAACTACAGACTTCATTCAAATTGTAATACAGAAACAAGGTTTTGGCAATTCCAAATTCAGGTAAAACACTCAGCATTTCTCTTCCAACTGAAAAGGGTTCATATCTACTGTAAATTACTCATGTCAGTCAGGATTTATTACTGTTAATTATTAGCTGTCTCACGTGCAAATTGCTTTTTAAAACCTTTAGAGGTTTTAAAGGTTAAAATCTCTTCTACATCACTGGTGTAAGCATACTACATGTTCCGACCAACACTGGTTATCTTCAGGTGTGTCTAAATTTCTGATGAAACTGCTGTGCTCCCACCCATAAGTTCAATTTTTGGGACATGTCCTTGTCTATGCGCCCATGTGTCCTATGGTGATGGGTATTTCTTCTCATTGTGTCACGTGTACATGTTAATGTTTAAAACTTTTAAAGGTGTTAAAAAGCAAGTTGCATGTGAGACAGCTAATAACCACATGAATAAATAAATAATGTGCAACAGGATGCTATATTATTCAGTCAGGATTGCTGATCAACAATAATTCCATTTATGCATCATGTAAACTTTGAAAGAAGAATGTTGGATAGCATTTTGTATGATGTTCAATGGAGATGTCCTTTTTTTTAGTAAAGAGGCAGAGTGCTGTTCTACTGCCATTCTTCCAAATTTAAAATAAAATACATAAAATTGTGCTCAAAATAATACATGACATTGAACTTTTCTGGAATGCTTGACTCTACAGTCAGTCCATAGTCATCTAAAACGCTAGGCCTACTGATTTTTAACATGAATGCATATCAGTAATTTCAAGACACAAACTGAAAAATTTCACAAATAAAAATATGTTTAGACTAAGTTCAAACATCTGACGGTAATAACTTGTTCCATCTGGAACACAGACATAATTGCAAAGCTGGTAAATGCTACCAACATACTTGGTTGTAGGATTATTTTGTCCTAATATAAAATTTTAACATAAATACGTAATGGGGCATCATAATACAACAAAACTTGTACAAAAAAAATACATTACAGTATATGCTTTTTTTTTATTGTGTGTACCACTATGAATTACATCTTCACAACTTGCTTCAAACCTTCTCCCCAGGATTTCAGTATTGTGAGTTATTTCAGGAATTTTAAACTGGTGATTTCTGGGTAAAGCATTACAGCTGTAATTTTTTACTTGAGGTATATAATCAAACCTCTTTTGGCCTCAAAATACTCCCCCCTTTCAGTCCTTGGAATGATCACCGGGACATGGTTTTCATGAGTAATCTTGTATCCCAAACTTCTCACAAGTCTTTCACTGAAGCTGAACTGTTACTCTGCTATAGCATTCTTCTGCACATTCAACTACTTTCAATGTTAAGTCACTGTGGAGAGATTCCATACAGCTCACACACTTTTCTAGCAGCACTGCTGGCGAGAGATGTTCAGCTACAGGGAGAAATGAAATGGACAGGAAAGGAACAGTTTTGGAAAACAAATTGTGCCATATGCACATTAGTCATGAACCATGCCAACTGAAAGAGGGGCACAGTTTGAAGTAAAACAATTAAAAAAGTTAAAGCTCTCCCTGTAACAGGCTGTGGAGGCCCACAGACTTGTGAGATGTCGAGAATCCAACATTTTCTAGACAGTCAGCTCAAAGATGGCAGTGAGTTAGCAAAACAATTAACAACTTGAAAAAACCATGCAAATTTTTACAAAAACTAAAATCACAAATTTTGTACCATAAACCAAGGGTGCAAGCTATATTCTCATAAATATAACACTTCAACAATGTCTTAGAGGTCTATATTTTTCCAAGTAAAAAATAAAATGAAAATATTATTCAATCATAGTTTCAAAACCAATCTGTATCTACTTACACATGGAAACATTCACTGCTACCACTGCCGATGCAGATGAAGATTTCGACTTAAAACACTGCGAACATCTTGGGTAAAACGCAGTGCATCCAATACTGGCAAAAGGTTCAGGAGTGCCGTATCCATCGGATCACTGAACCATGACTTGATAGGGATAGCATTATCTAACAAAAAAGGAAACTGTTATTCAAGAAACAGCATTTCCTAACATTTCACTAAGTTACTTTTAAAGTATCATTAAATTAGTATTGTATTTTCTTAAATATCCTGTGCACAGCCTATTCATAACAAAGCTGGCAATAGTGCACTGTTTATTAATGATGAGGGTGGCAATGATGCACAGCCTATCTGTTACAAAGTAGGCAATACTGTTAATGTCAAGCACCATCCTAACTTTCACAACTTCCTCTTCCTTTCATGCACCCATACTCAGCTACAGAAATACGGGGTGTAACTAAAACATACCAACAAACTTTAAGCATGAATTCCACAAAAAAAAAAAAAATCAATATCAAAATATACCAGAAACTTTTCAGTTACAGCTGAAAGAGTATATTTACAATTAATGCTCAAAATGTCCTCCATGAGATTCAATGCATGCCTCAACATGTCTCATCATGGACTGCTGCATCTGTTCAAAAATGCCTGGGTAGCTGCAGGTAGTCTAACAGGCATCCACAATGAATGGTAATATACATTTTCGTTGTCAACAGCAGCTACATACACAAGTATTTTCTGGTGTCCCCACAGGTAATAATCCAGAAGATTCAAATCTGGTGAGCATGGAGGCCATGCAGGTGGTCCTACTCTAAATATCCATGAGTCATTATACGTGTCACTGACATCTTGCACAGTCATCCCTGTGCTTAATTAATTAAGCACCATGCCATGAAGATTTATGGTGGAGTGGATGTATAGATCCACATATTCTTCCCTCAGCACTAATTGGAGGTGACTGGTCAGCTTCACGTCTCAGCCGCTTTATCCATGGGAAAAAAAGCCACCAGTACCCACTGGGCTGGAGGCTGGGCAGGGAGTCCAAGAACTGGTCTGGATGACATGGAGGAGAAAATTCTTGCTCCTACATGGACTTGAACTTTGACCCCTCTGCTACCAGCCCGCAGCCAGTCACTATACTGACTGTGCTATCACAGCTCCATTATTTTAGCTATGGTTCACAAATTAAATGTTTCTGGACATATATTGATAGGCACACATTTACTTCTTTTGGTATGTGGAACTCGTGCCCAAAGTTTGTCCTCACCTTTCAGTTACAATGTGCACAAAAAAAAAAAGAAAGAAAAAAAAAAAGGTAAAGCTATCCCTGTATCAGGCCGTAAAGGCCCATAGGGTTGTGAGACGTTGAGGGTCCCACATTATCTAGACAATCGGCTCAAAGATGGCGGTAAGGTTGTCACCCTTACGTGCCAGCTGCGCTATACTGCCCAGGAAAATTATTTAATTAATTCCTGGTACTCATTTCTGTTAGAGGCTGAGTCAAACCCAGGGCCATAGTGCAGCTGGAAGGATTAGGTCAATTGAAAAAAATCCAATGACCTCATCGGGACTTGAACCTGCGACCTTCTGGCTTGTAGCATAGCCCCTCAACCAACTATGCTACAGCGTGCCCCCAATTATTCCGTGTATTAGTTCATAAAATGCTCACAGAAGAAAAGTTTTCCAAGTACATAAATGAGATGAGGCAGTTTGGGTGTACAGTATAAACTGCAGATAGATGAGGAAGTTTTCTTTGTGAGAAATTACTAGTGCATCAGAAACTGAAATGTCTCCCAGTGGCAGGATATCAGATCCTCGACAATACAAGGCTGTAGCTGAAATAAATACATCACATTCCAATTTCAAGGCATTATGTATCGAAAACACACTTGCTATGTATGCTTCAACAAATTCAAGCAAACATTCCTGTATTTCTGTTTCTTAACAACTAGGTGGTATATCTTATTCTGGGATGTAAGGTATTTGATAAAATATCATTAATAAAAAAAAACTAATATCACACATGGAAAAAAAAAAGTGATCAAATACTAAAAACCAAAACTAAAACACTGAATAATTCATTCAAGGTGTTACACACAGTTATTAGTCACTGCTTACTTTTTATTTATTTAATAATGCTTTCATTAGCAGGACTACTTTACAGCATCAAATGGATGGATGACAAATGAATGATGGTTGATAAGGATTTGCAGAGAACCTGTGGTGGCATAGCAGATGTACTCCCCGGATAGTTACCTCAGTCTGGATAGATTATGTCCCAGCTGAGATTCAAACCATGCACCCCCTGAATATGTGTCAACAGTGTTAGTGCTACACCAACCCATTCAGCAGTTATTACTTGAAATAGGAATTACAGCATCAAACATCAATTTTGATACACAGTAATACATGTAAGATTTGAGGCTTTCACGGCGGTGACTATGAAGAAAGCAGTCTTCTGGGATTTGGCACTTCTTATACTTTTTCTTCTACCCTGAAGATGGGGGCGATACGTTCCTCCGAAACGTCAGTTAACACCACATATACGCGGTGCCAAATCCCAGAAGACTGCTTTCTTCACAGTAATACAGTTTTCTCAATTATAATAAATAGAAATATCATACTACAAGATCCAGATACTACACATTAAGCAACCATTTATGTACAGTAATACAGTTCTTTTAAATCCTTGTCAGTGAAAATATATAAATATATGAAGCAGCAACAGCATATGTTGAAATATATTCAGATGGACCTACTGAAGGCCAAAATAAGTATGGGGGATAACAAAACGAAAATAAATTTTATCACATATAAGTTGTACCTGATGGCTTTAACCATTTATGTAAAATATTACAAAGTCAATAGAAAGTCCGTCGAGTGTAACAATGTTTTTTAGGTCACTTCTTTATCACTTTTGCCTTACATGTTTCGGTTTAATAAAACCATCATCAGAGGCACATGGTACTAACAAGAAAACACTGGCGTTGTTTAACTGTACACAGTATATATGCTGCGTGGATGCTGCTACAAATGTCGATGTGTAAAAGCACAACACTTGCTAGGAATATTGAATGCACGTTCAACTCTCGCATTCCATCCGAAATAGCCCTCAAGTTAAAACGTCACTATTAAAATATTTAAAAGTTTAAAACATTTGAAGTAAAATGTTAGGCTCCTCCTTGTTCTTGTAAAATATTAACTTACCTGGATAAGCTCTGTATGCCCCTGGTGAATTATCCAGAATAAATATGCTAGCAAGATCCCCACAGATGGCTGACAAGTCCTTGGTATAACTGCCTAGGTCTGGCGTGCAATGTTGCCTGTAGTAACGTCTCCTCAAAATCCCACGATTGTTGTCAAGTTTGTCTGCTACAGCTGCACCATAGATCTCCATGCTCGCTGTAAATACTACCAACTCATACCATTGTGACACCTGAAAAATGGGTTAGTACATGAATAAAATCAAACTGATTCCATAGAACAGTCCTTGAATATTTAAATCACTTAACTAGTCAAGAAATTCCCCACCTTTCATGGAACCCAAACATTTACTTCCACATTCAAAGGAAACCATCACTGGATCTTAATGTCAGCCAAATAAATCCAGCCCAAGCCTCCCACCACATTCATGATTCATTCTAACATTATTATCTCACCCACACCTATGTCTTCCAAGTGATTTCCTACCTTCAAGTTTGCCACACAATATATTTCTTACCTCTCCCCTATGCACNCCCCCCCCCCCCATCTCATTCTCCTCCGTTTCTTAATCCTAACAATATTCAGTGCTGTATAAATTGTGAATCTCTTCACTATGGAATTTTCTCCAACCCTCCATTTATTTCCTCCTACTCAGGTCCAAATAATTTTCTCAGCACCTTACTCCCAAACATTTTAAAAAGATGTTCCTCCCTTAGTTTTTACATATTAGATGAGAAGACAACTAATTGTGTACTGAAGGGCAGCAAGCAACTCATTATTTAATCTGCTCTTAAGTCCTTCAAGATCAGAATTCTAATTTGTTAGTACTATCATTCCCAAATATCTTAATTTTACCACATTTTTACATGATCTAATGGCTATCTTTGTTAATACATGATCCTAACCCTTTTGAGGTTCAAAGTGCCATTGCAATATTGAAACGGTATAAGTAGCCAGGTAGTAATCAAATTCCGGCAGAACTTATTCAAGCAGGAGGCGGAATATTACGTTCTAAGATCCACAATCTAATTACTTCTATTTGGCATAAGGAAAAATTGCCTGATCAGTTGAAGGAGTCTATTATTGTACCAGTTTACAAGAAGGCTGATAAAACTGACTAGTAATTATCGGGGGATATCACTGCTATCAACTTCATACAAAATTTTGTCCAATATTCTTCTCTCAAGGTTAAGTCCATATACAAAAGAAATTATTGGGGATCATCAGTGTGGGTTTCGACATAATAGATCAACTACAGATCAGATCTTTTGCATTTGTCAGACATTGGAGAAAAAATGAGAATATGAGGAGACAGCACATCAGCTATTCATAGACTTCAAGAAAGCCTACGATTCAGTTAGGAGGGAAGTATTGTACAATATTCCGATAAGAGTTTGGGATACCCATGAAACTAGTTGGGTTGATTAAAATGTGTTTAAACAAAACATATAGTAAAGTCCGTGTAGGTAAACATTTGTCTGATAAATTTCCTATCCAGAATAGTCTAAAATAAGGAGATGCTTTATCGCCACTCCTTTTCAACATTGCTTTAGAATGACATTAGGAAGGTCCAGGGAAACCAGGTGGGACTGAGGCAGAGGCTTAAAACAGCAGCTACTTTTGGGAGGCAACAAAACACTCAACGAAGCTCTCAGACAGACCCTAGAGCTAGAAGTAATAAAATTTGCAATAGGATCTTCCATCAGGCAGCAGAAAACAAGTGACAATGCAATGAGGAGGAGCTGGCCCCTTCCCAAATGAAAGAAGAGTCTACCAACAGCTTAAATGCCTGTGCTGTAGGAGCACCGGCCACTTTTGAGAGTTCTGTCCCGGTAAACTGAAAGAAGAAATGGCAATACGCCTATAGGCTACTTGAGATGGGCAGCCATAAGGAGGGAGCAACGTGACACAATTACATAAACAATGTCCATTGTGTAGTAACAGCTCAATAAACATGCAAGCCATCACAACACAATGTATCGCCAACACACCAGAGAACCAGCATTTCTACCTTCCCTTTCAATTGCACAGAGTTTCTCTTCTAGGGTCTCCTGCATGCTTTGTCTTTGAGCATATAACTTCTCCAAATCCCATCTAGGTCTGCGCTTTTGGAATCTTATAATTTTCTTCAACCTGGTTCGAAACTTGGCAACCAATAAGTTGTGGTCAGAGTCAATATCTGCCCCAGGCAGCGTCTTCACATCCTTCACGCTGTTTCTGAATCGATGTTTCACAAGGATGTAGTCCAGCTGATGCCGCCTCCAATCCCCAGATGCCTTCCATGTGTAAATTCTTCTCTTTGGCTTCTTGAACCAAGTGTTGGTAACAATCAGTCCATTTCTTTCACAAAAGTCAACAAGCATGTGACCCCTGTGATTCCGTCTTCCTAGTCCATGTGATCCAACAATATTCTGATATGATTCATCTCCAAAAGTGCTTTTCCAGCCTTCTATTATGATGCTGTTTGCGTCACCTCTTCCATCTTCCTGAAGAATTTCTTCAATTGTGTCATACACTTTTTTCACTTCATCATTTTCATACTCTGCTGTTGGCATGTACACTTGCATAATCAGTATATCTACCGGTTCCGCCTTTAACTTCAGAGCAATAATTCTATCATTACAAACAATCTTCTTAACAACACTCCTCACTACACTTTTATGCACCACTATTGCCACACCTCTTTCAGCCCGTGCAACTCCAGAATAATACACTGTATAATCACCACTTCTTATTTCGCCTTGTCCTGACACCTAGAACAGACACCTCATTCTTCTGCATTTCAGTTTTCAAATTCTCCAATTTGCCTGCTTGATTCAAGGTCCTTACATTCCATGTTCCAATCTTGTAGCCATGATGTTTCTTCTGGTCTTCGCACTTTTTCTTGTTGTAACGCCTGCATGACATTTCCTCTAGAAACACTCCCCCCCGGAGATCCAATTGGGTGAGTAGTTTACCTCCGGATTGTTTTGTCTCCAGAGGAAACATCTCGCATACATGGTATGCCTGTTTTTGGAAAGAGACTATCCAGGAAAAGTGATAATGTGGTAGTTTTTAAACAGTCATATCTAAACATAAATAGTATCAAAACCAGTAACGTGATAAACGATTTCTTTGTTCAGAGCTAAGGAATGAACCACTGACATGACCTCACGTAGGTTTGTTTTGGTTTCAAACCTAAGGTCAAACTGTCAGCATTCCCAAAGAGAGCACGAGTACTGCGTTAGATATATATAACATACAACCAACTCGGGGTGCTGCTTGTTGTTAGACATATCTAACATTCGGCCGTTAAAGGTTAAGAATATGAACAGATATAAGTCACTGAACTACTGGCTCCACAGCTCACTCATCTGTACTGGCTATTTGTAACTGACAATAATTTAAAGCAAAATTCAGATGGGACTTAATGGATAACATCTACTTCTTAACAGCATTTCCTCCAATAACATAATGGTTATACCATCATGACTAGATAGTATCAAATTAAATAACATCATGAACAAAGCAAGATATATCAAGAATAAAAAAAAAAATCTAATTCCACTGTAAAAGAATTCTAATTTTCATATATATATGATAAGACAATCACATCCATCAGTTCTTCAGTTAACTTAGATATTTAAACTTCTATATTTGGTTTCACTTCCGCAAATTCATTATCACTAATGAATTCAGCATGTTATACACAGGCAATGTCGAAACAATAAACTTCAAAGTATCTGAACAAGAGGGAAATGGAAGGTCATTTGATTTTAAATGATCTAGTGTTTCAACAGAAAATTACATACTGTGTTCTAATTCAGCATTGTTATTATTCAGGAAAGAATGTTATACTTCCAAAATCCTGAAATGTTCTGAACTTGAAAGTATTTTGTACTAAATACAATCAGTATTATTTCTCTCATTCTTAATGATTATGCAGTCACACTACCATATCAGTAGCATATAAGTCATGCAGTCTTACAATATCTAGGAAGTAGTCCACATGCGGTCGTTTGTGCACAAAGAATCGGACTGGGTGCCTATCTATTGTGACTTTCAGAACAAAGTCTGGTGGTGTCCCTGGTTTCACTGTTTGTCGCATCACACCATCATGGTGTGAGTGGATCAATGTCTCGTCCAAATCTAAAACCAACACCTTACGCTTCACTATACCTGGGAAAAAAACAAAACAAAAACTCATTAAAGACCTATTCTTTACACTACATTTCTTGGTAAAAAAATTAAAAATAATCATTCTTGATGTTCATGAAAGTACAAGAAGCCTATACAACATTACCATGGATGAAAAGACATATTTATCATTCCGAAACATGCCTCTCAACCATGAGCGAGCCAAGTCATCTTGTGGATCAGCAGACTGCATACATTAAAATTAGAGGAATCAGGATGGGTAAAAGTCTGTAGGCTAAAATAATGTCACGTGTCGGGTATGTCACACGACAAATAAATCCACATGGGTCTCGGATTCAGTGAATCTTTATTGCACACTCACACTTATACACCATACAAGTATTATCGTTTGTGGTATCATGTGGCTTCTGCGACGTCTCGACTAGGTTCCAACTGTCTTGTATGAAGGCTTGGTTCCAACTTGGTTGCATGAAGGCTAGATCTCAACTGTCGTGTATGAAGGCTAATTAGCTCTGTGTTTTTGTAGCTTTGTTGCTCTCGGCTTATGTAGGTGTTCTGTGGACTGGATACGAGACACCATTCGCCAAGGTTCGATCTCACTTGTTCGGCAATCCGTTGCTTCGGGAACGATCTCCACAGATTACGGCGGTAACGTGTTTCGTCTCATCTGTTGGTACTCAACGGCCTTCTGTTTGTCATCTCCGGGGAAACGCGTTTGTTGTTTTGGCACTCTCTATGCAGCAGCCCACTGTTATTGCGTTGCCGTGGAAGTATCTACTTCAAACATGTTACAATAATGAAGATACATAACCAAAGCAGTTTTGCAACACATTTGAAATTGTATTTAACCTAGGGGAAAAAGTAGAATATTAACAGATTTATTTATAACATATTTTGAGAATGTTGAATAGTTAAATTCCTTTCAAGCTGTCTATCGTCCAAAGGATGAAGACAGAGGAAGCCACCAAAGAGGTGGAAGGACCATTTCACTTAACCTGAAGATCAGAACAGATTGAAAGGTCAAACCTTAGAACTGACAATGATTTACCCTACTTCTTGCAAAACAGAACCACCCATTGAATTTTGTGATGCTAACATGGAAAAGCAAAACAGGATTCAAATGTACATGTTAAGAAAGCATGCCAGAGCTACAGCGTCTAATAAAAGCTATTGAAAAACATAATTATTATTATTTGGAAATTAACTTCACAGTGACTTGTATGTTTTATTTTAGCATACACAGACTCTTTGTTACTAAGTTGTGGTTAGTTATTTCAACCCTCCCACAAAAAGCCATCACTGCTGCAAATCTGTTTCTCATTGGTGGTACAGTTCCTTCAATGTACTTCATTTCACAGAACTATTAGACATATTTCTAAAGCATATATAATACTGAAATTTTACCCCGAGTCACAAAACATCCAAGAAAAGCAGCCCTGCCAGAAAACTTAGCTCTGATGTGATTAGTGAATAGCAAGTGGATTTCAAGAATAACACATTAAACATTTAAGAGCATAAATACTTACTGAGCCTATGTCTTGAAAGAGGTGACAGAGGAAAAATTTCATATTTTACTGGTTGATGCTGAACCACCTAGAATAAAAAACAATGCATTAATTATAAATAAAAGTAGAAATGAACATCTAAGTGACAGAATTACAATACCACATACACATACATGGGAACTTGACACAAACCACCCACAAATAAATTAACACTAACCAACCAACTAACTGACCAATCAATTCCAAGGAGCAGAGTCCTCCATCAACAACTAGCAGTCACTTAACTAGTCAAGGAATTCACTGCCTCTTATGGTGGCCAAGGGTTCAATACCAAGCTTACAAGAGCTTGCCACTATTTTCTGTCTTGAGACAAATTAATCCAGACCACTCTCCCCCACACTATTTTTTTAAGATCCAATTTAATATCGTCATCTCACCTATAACTCTCCCTTCAGATTTTCCAACCATAACTTCCTACACGTTTGTTCCCACTCCCATGCATGCTATATGCCCCACTTATATACTTAGCGAAGGGGTACATACAGTCAACATATACAAGTTGTACCATCAATGCAACAATTGTTTATTTACATACATAGCACTACATCCTCAAGTGCTGCAAGTCTCTCACACTCAACCACTGAACTGCAACACCTGCACTCCCATTTATATACATTTGGTTCATAAAAGGTTACTTTCTATACATATTCAATTCATCGACTAGACTAGACTAGACATTGATTCAAACAAGAATCATACATGTGAGTAAACAGTAAAAATAACAATCAGGTCAAAACTAAATCTAAAATTTATTTTTAAAAATTTCACAAGCTGTGATGAGCTTCATGTGTTGATTGTATACATGCAACAGGATGCAAACTTAAAAAAAAAAAAAAGAGATACATGCAAATTATAAAGCTTCATACTATGCAATTTTCTTCAGCCTCCTATTCTTTCCTTTCTCTTAGGTACTCTGTACTCTGTTCTCCATCACCTTATTCTGTGTTCTCACCTCAGCATGAGATAACAATTTTCACACCCACTTAAACCACAGATAAAACTGGTGTTTTGTTATGTATTAATCCTTGTACTTTCAGATAACAGATGATAAAATAAAATATTCTGAACTGAGTGGCAGTGAGCATTCACTGAATTTAATCCACTCATAACTTCCTTATGAATTCAGTTCAGATTTGTCACCATCATTCCCAAATATCTTAGCTCTGTAACATTTTTTAATAATATATTAGCTATCTTTATATTATGATTTTATACTGAATTCTAATGTCAAGGTATCTGCATATACTTCCAGACCAACCTCTACACTAGCATCTACAACAACTTCTGTGTTTTTCTTTGAAGCACTTATGATTTCCCCCAGTATATTAAAATCACTGGCACTGACCAGAAGCTGGTGTGTCACATTCAGTTTCAAACACACCTGGTTTTCTGGGACCTCTCTAATGGCATACTCTAAAGTAATCATGAAATGCAATGGCATTTAATTAATGGCATTAATAGCTTAAACAATTATCTTATGACATCCCTGGATTTAAAGTGGTGTTAAAAAAGTTTCTTATCACCAATTCCTTTTACACTGTTGAAGAGTACTACTGCGGGTATTAAGATTGATCCCTCATATATATTTAAATAAACACCGTTGCCTATTGCTATGATGCAATGGACTATGGAATAAAATACACAGGAAAAAGGTACTATTACTGTTGTGATATAGGTGTATTAAGAAATTAGATTTTATATGACTATATTAAGAGTCTTGGTGGTCTCTTGATCATGTATGTAACTGTATATGTTATTTTGATATATGGAATGTATTATTGTATGGTAGTCTTGTTGTATTGAGTATTTAAAATTTTGACAGTGATGACTATCTGATTATGTATGTATATTCATATGTTATATTGTATTGCTGACTTGTTCTATATCTGAGGCAGACGCCTCCATGGATTTTGTAGAACTGTAAATAAATAAATGAATAAAATAATTCCTCCTTGTTTCAGACATTTCTGAATAGGAAATGCATGTGACAAATCTTAAGGATATATAGAACAGTCCTATGTCAGACCAAGTTTGCCACTGAAAATTCCAAGTTTGGTCCTACATCAAACCCAGTCTGCCACATGTTGCATGCATTTTATACATGACCTGGAGTCAGTCTGAGGGAGACAGTGTAAGTATATCATTCAAGCCTTCCTCTGTGTGATGGTGTTAACCAACTATTCCTTTTAATACTTTTGTGTACTTTATCATAGCAATTTTTCCTCAGTAGTTGCATCACAATGGCATCTACAAGTTGGCATGCGTTGGGCAGCAGACACATATGTGAACAACTGCATGATGACTCAGGATTCTTACAATGACATTAGCTAGGATTCAGATACTGATATAATTGAGCATTATGACCCTGATGCCAAAATAAACAGGCATGATTTGAGTGACAGTAATGGTCAGCCAGGTGAAAATGAAGGTGGTGGTGGTGGTCATAGTAACAATGATGATTATGATAATGAAGATTGACGTCCCTGAGACAATATGACCATTACTGCAAGATATTATTTCATGCCTCATCTGGTTGTAAACCACTTCAGACCAGGCATATAACTGTTTCTCCATATAAATTCTTTCTGCTATTTACAGTGCAATTTATTTAAAGAAATGACCGCTAAAACCAACAGGTGTATAAACGAATGAATAAATGAGGCCATTCATCTGAAAAAATATTTCATTTGGGACAGGCTGGAAGTTGTCACAACTGAATATCTGAAGGTATTTCATGGTGCTATACTGAATCTGGCAAGATGTGTAAAATGTTCTGTCAAGGACTTCTCCAAACAGTGGCCTGACAATTCATGGTTCTACAAGGGCATATTTTCAAGGAAGATTTTTATAATTACATTGCGATTTTCACGACTATACCCCTTCTAGGGCTGGAACACCAGATGAACAAAAGCAGTCCCAAGCCAATAAAAAAAAGAACATAAATTATTATGAAGAAGCAAAAGTTTTGGAAATTTATAGCACAACACAATGTTTATCTCCAGATGAATCACCTGTGAATTTCAAAGGTTGTGTGGTTTTCAAAATGTGTAATCCACAAAAGCCAACATAGTGGAGACTTCACACACATATATGTAATTCCTGATTTCACAAACTGGTTGTTTGGGGCCTGATAGCCTATTATGGGTCAACAACTACAAAAAGTCTGATGCACTCAGAGCTAACATTTACCAGCAGAATAGTACTAGAACACATAAGCAAGGCTCAAAACATAACACATGAAAAAGGATATCATCTGTACACACACATGTTTCATACAAACTTGGACCTAGCAGGTAGGAGGTAAATGTCATTTCACTGTGACAAATGTCCCAAGGAAGCCATGTCTCCACTCAACAAGTGTTTTGCCATATACCACACAGTGAAGAAATAAAATTAAGAATGCATCTAATAGAAAAATTTTATATTTGATAAAAGTTATAGAAAAAATATCCCACCTTTCTACAAGGAAATATTTTTTATGCATAGAGCAATCTGCCACCACCAGATGCACATTCAGTGGTCCTCTTATCATGTATTCTTTATATGCAGTGACTTCATCATTTACCATGTACGATTTGAGGGTTTCACAGAGGTGATTATGAAGAATGACATCTTCTTGGATGTGGCACTGTGTAGATCTTGTGTGAACTGACGTTTCGGATGAATGTATCGACTCCATCTTCAGGGTGGCTGCAGCCACCTGCTCGCTCGCGGATTTTTCTACCTTGAAGATGGAGCCGATATGTTCCTCCAAAATGTTGGTTCACACAGATCTACATGGCACCACATCCCAGAAGATGGCATTCTTCTTCATCATTTACCCTTTGCATTGTGTTTCATTCTACAGTTCTGACCTCATGGCAAACTCACAAACACCAACAACTCAAAAGAAAACAGAACCCCCAGATTATGAAATAAAATACTTATACCTCATACATCTGAACATAATATGAGATGAAGAAAGCAGTCTTCTGGGATTTGGCACCATGTAGATGTGGTGCCAAATCCCAGAAGACTGCTTTCTTTATAGTCACCGCCATGAAAGCCTCAAATTTTACATAATATGAGATGTTTAGTCATCACTGAACTCATACCCAATGATTCTGTCTCGTTCTATTCTGTGCCCAACAATAGCAAACAGAATGGCATCATTCAATATACACCTCACTAGTGACAGCGGTACAGTCAAAATTGCGCAGTATATATTCAAACCAATTCACAATAGTAGTCAAAATTACATAGCTCAGTGGTATTTAAATAGACCAGCAGAAAGATGTAGTAGTACTTAAATGGGACTGAAAGAGGTTTAAACATAACAATGACAATGAGGATAGAATCCCTAACTTTAAAACACCATAGTGATAGCAAATATATTAAAACACAAGAGAACACTTGGGAGACCTATGCAAAGATGGGATAATAATATTGAAATAGATCTTATATAAACAGAGTGTGAAGGTGCAGGCTGGATTAACTTGGCTCACCTTTTACTCAATACATACAGATGCACTGACTGATCACAGACACAGAACCATGAGGTTAAAACCTACACATCTGTAACATCAACATTTCAAAACTAACCATGACAGGGGCAAGATTGAACACTTCCCTAACAACCTCATTTAGTAAAGTGTGATATATGCATTAACTTCTCTAAAGACTTTAAATTCTATCTAACAATAATCTTAATCTTCAATCCATACTATAATAACATTAAATTCCATTTAGTTCGTTTATTTTTTAAGAGGAAGAAACAATCCTATTTATAAGTAAACAAGGGAACACCAATTCAACCTTCTCTAATACAAAAAAGAACATTTTTACAGACACTTTTTATGGATTATACACAGTATATACAAGAACTGAAAGACTGTCAGATGTATGAACATGATAAATATTGGATTCTTGATCACTCTAAAACTTACGCTGTCAGTGTAAGAACACAGCAATATATTGTACCATACTTGATTTAATAACTGTAATGTAAGTTCTTAGGATGAACAAATAACCTTGTAAAAGCCTCAAGTGACTGTACTAAGAGCACTTATTCACAGACAGCCACTTATGATAACCTTCTAAGGTGAAAACATGTTAGAGTACTTAGTAAATATCACTTCGTGTTCCAATTAGACTGCGTTTGCTAAATTATAATAAAGCTATACAATTCAACGTAAAAATGTGTAACGCTGTCATCAATAAATTCATAACGATTCCTGAATAACTTTTACTGTATTACGGTTAGTTCTGGATCACTATGCCGATATGGTCCTTCAGTTTAACAGGCTGTTAATTCACTGCGAAACAAATTTCGCTGCGTTCCAACCAAAATGCAATTCAATTACTTACTGCTCTAACCTGCTTCTTCAATAAGAAACAAACACAAGTCCAAACTCTTGACGCTAGTAATAAAAACGCACGAAGGCCCATCTGCAATTGTTTCAGCATTGGTAAAGTCTTTCATCAACGCCCTATTAAGAATATAAAACAATTCTAACACACTGTCAATTTCCTTAGGAAATGTGAAAATGTATCACATTTCTAAAAGCGCGAATATACAACATAAACCGCCATGATCGACCCATTTCTCGTACGCACCATTTATGCGCATGCCATGACTATGTTTCTGAACTTCTTGACAGATAGCAGCATCGAATAATGGTAGCATGGCTGCCATAAATAAGTGAGTATAAATATTTTAATAAAAGATATAAATTAATAACAAAAAGATTTGTCGAATATATTTAAATAATTTCTTCCACAAAAAAATTATTTAGTTCAAATTATCTTCTTGCTTTCTTATAAATAGGTTATATTTTATATTCAACATTAACCATTTACTTTTTGAAATGTTGGCTATTATATCAGGTTTTATCGCAGATGGTTCAATGAAATGACACTCCACCTGGGAGAGGGCAGCAGAATCCTGATACCCGTGAGCAGGTGTAGCCTCTCCTATCGTACTTCCCTCACCGGCCGCAGGACAGCGCATAGCGCATAGATAGAATGGATTGCACTATTCCAAGGGTTTCCAAACTACGGCCCGCGAAAGAATTGTGCAGAAATGCGCCAAATGAACTAATTTTCCAATGAGTACTGGTAAATGTGATTCCGAGATTATTGACCTGGCATATTATACTGCAGTTCGATGGCTTGGCTGTGGAAAGGTTCTTTTGCGCTTCTTTCAGCTCAGGAATGAAACTGATATATTTCTTACAGAGAAAAACAATCACCAACCACTTTTATCTGATACCGAGTGGCTTTGGAAATTAGCATTTTTTGCTGATCTGGTGAACCATATGAACCATTTGGATTTAAAGTTGCAGGGTGAAAATAACTTAGTCTGTGAAGAAAGCAGTCTTTTGGGATTTGACACCGTGTGTATGTGAGCCTCAAATCTTACAACTTAGTCTGTGATTTATTTGCACTTATCAAGGCATTCAGAGCAAAGTTGATACTTCTGGAAAGCCAAGTGAAAAATTGTAACTTTGTTCATATGCTATACTGTGCAGAGATGCATAAAAAGGGTGAAGCAGAATTTCCTTCCTCGTTTGCAAATCTAGTCATTTCAGGTTTGAAAGAACAATTGCGGAAGCGATTTGCTGATTTGGATTCCAGTGCTCAGGAAATTAGATTGTTTCAAAATCCGTTTGACTGTGATGCTGAGATGTCCCAAGTCAAATTCAAATGGAAATTATTGAACTTCAGGAAAATTATCATATTAAAGACAAATACAAGGAAGGAAATTTGATCAAATTTTATAACTTTCTGAACTCTGAACAATTTCCAAATTTAAAGAAATTTGCTTGTAAATGTATCTCCAATTTTGGGATGTCATATCTGTGTGAACGAACTTTTTCACGGATGAAATACATCAAGTCTAAATACAGGGCAAATTTATCCAATGAACATTTAAAGTCGCTACTTGTGATTAGCATTTTGAAATTTGAACCTCAATTCAATCAGATTTTAAGAACGCAAAAAGAGTTCCATCATTCACATTAATTGTTTTATTATAATTTGTGATGAGAATATGAGCATTTGCTGCTACTGTCTGTTGTCATTAATATACGATAATTTATTCTCACATACTTTGTATTTAGTTTATGAAATTCTGTGCTTTCAATAAAACTCATATACCTAAAGTTATTAATTTCTCATTTTGTTCAGACCGTTGAAAGGGATGAATTATCCAATGTGGCCCACGGTTCAAAAAGTTTGGAGACCCCTGCACTATTCAAGCGCTATCTCAGGCGACGTACCACAACCATGGGGAAGGAGTTCGATCCCCGGTAGGGTGAAGAACATCAAAAACCTTCTCAAAGTTGTCCAGGCAGGCTCTGGGACTCGACCAGCCTCCTACCGCTCTTGTCGAATGGGTACCGGGGGTAAAGCGGTAGGGACATGAAGCTGACCACTCTCTCCAACTATTGCTGAGGTGAAGAAAATGTGGATCTATGCAGGTCTATGTATCCACTCCCTCATATGCTTCCATGGCATAGTGCATAATTAGTTACGCACAGGGACAACTTCACAGAATTTATTAATGGAGAATTAAGTCTTTTACATTTCCATTGTTTAACAACTAAAAAAGTTTTGGGATTATCGCAATTGAAGATTTAATGAAGATTCGTTTTGTTTTTATTTTCTAAGTGGTAGGCTTACCTTAGTTTCTCTTCTGAGGTAATCAGTCCATAGAGGGATATGCAAGAACTTAAATATGGTAATATCTAACTACTGGTAAAGTTTAATTTGTCGCATTCTTTAACTGGCTTTAACAGCCCAGCAAATTAATATTGAGTTAACAATTACCAGTGAGTATTAGTTTTGTGGATAAAGTGGCCCATTGTGCGAAACTAACCATTTTCCTACATCTAGTGCAAGGTTCAAGAATAGTGGAGCCACTTCCTCACGTCTTCATAGGGACAACAAAACAACAAACTTCGTGGTTTTAGTACGCAAGCGAACTATACTGACTGAGCGACCGCCACTTGTTGGCAAAGTTAGTGCCAACTTTACTTTTCTTTTTTACCCTGTACTATTCTTTTTTAATGTTCTGGCACTGAAGTCAGTGAAGTAATTTCTCATCTCAGAGTACATACTGCTTCACCACATGAAAGCTGTATGCCACTTCTAGCTCATAATGGAACTCAACTTAATTCATCTCAACTCAGTTAACCTGTTCTTGCCTTGTGACCAAGATTTTGTATAAAGAATTCCATCTTCCGGGATACAATGTCATGTGGTATATTGAAAGTCAATTGATGTTGCTGCCTGCTTCATGCTGGTTTCTTGGTTGGCTTACTCTTCAATGACTAAGATGGAGGTGACATGGAGACTGGCTTTCAATGGACTAAACAGTGTTATATACCAGAAAACAGAACTTCTCATAGCCACCCCTGTGAAACTCAAATCATACAAAGTTCAGTCAAGTTTATAATTTAAATGCTTTATTAATTATCACAAAATGTGAATTATTTATTTTATTATATAGTCATTTAATTATTTTTCTTAAACTTAATTTTTTTAACTTAAAAGCCTTATTGCAATTCTGTTTTATTAACACATTCTTTATAGGTTCAAGAACACAAGATCAACAAATCATTAAGTTATATGCAGAGTTTCCATACCAACTTCAACTTAAACATACCCTGTAATTTCCTGAAGTAATCTGAGTGCACCAGCTGGATTATCTGTTGGAACCTGAAAAGATAAATTATCATATATATAATTCTTTATTTTGATCTGTCGCAACACAACAACGAAATGGTCTAGGTCAATATCACATGTTTTGGCTTTTAAAGCCATCATCAGGCAAATACATGGTTACTACATTCACACACTACTGAACTGCATTTCAATGTGATGGTGCAGTGGAGATGGATACTTGACAACTATGTTACACTATAATACAAGGTATAAAAATACAATAAAATTATAAAATTGTTATAAAACGAAAGTTATACAATAAAATATGGTTGTAAACTATTCATGTAATACTTCATACTATGAAGTCAGTTGTGATCTTGTGGTTATATTCCATCGGATATATGGCAGTATATTCATGACTTGTACATGTAAAGTTAACCGTTTGAGACCTGTGGTATTAGTGTAGTATTATTTGGTATTTAATGTTTAACTGGTGTTTCATTTTACAGTGTATTTTGTCCACTCTGGTTGGAATACAGATTGAAAAAAAATTTATATATATATCCTATACATATTCAGTAATTAAATTTTTAGTATAGGTAGCAAGTTATTAAATACTGGAGTTTTCTCCATTCCAAAGGCAGTAAAAGTATATAACATAATTATGAAATTCATGGCTTATTTGCTGATCTGTGGTGCAAAAAAACATTAACAACAGACTAAGCAATCCTGTGAGCTTTCATTTCCAGTGGTATCACCCATATGAAGTTGAATTTTCTGTTTCTGTTATTTTTACATTGGGTTTGAATATAGTCTCCTTTCTTCTGTATGATGGCAGTGAAAGAAATTAGTGGTAAGATTATTCACATAACAGTTTTAAATATATTTCAGTACCAGTAATGTACTCCTTTATAGATTATCTTGGCCCTATTTTCTAAGAGTAACAGCTATCCCATCACTGCTTCATGTTTTCCCCCTCACACAGTCAATCCAGTAGGCTCTAAAAGGTCAAAAACAGTGTTGATTTTTGTGTTAATGAGGCAAAACAGAATGTGTTGAGAGGGGATGACGAATGCTCTTTCATGAAGTATAGAAGTTGTTTTCACAAGAACAAACCTACTGCCTTAGACTGATTTTCTGCATCCTCTTGTAATAGAAATATGGTACTCTGGTGACCATCAACACAGCAACACGTCACATATTACCATTCATGATGATTACACATCCATCAATAGAGTAAAATGTGTTATTTCTCAAATTATTTTGTAAAACAAACCTAAATTGCTTTTTATCATTTTTTAAAACTGAGTATTAAATAGCTTGACGCCTGAATAATACACCCCTCTCTGATAGGATGATAAATGTGTTAAAGGTATATGAAGGTGGTCATTCGTTCTTGTACCAATCACATATACAGAGTTATTGGTCTGAAACTTATCCAAATTATTAACAACAAATATCATCAATGAGAGCAAATATACACATGGGATTGGCAGTATGTCAAGCTTTTTAAATAGGCCTCTACATGTATGAGTTGGGCCCACTCCCATCTTTATTCTTATTATTTTCTTTTGCATAACAAAGACCTTATGACTGTCTGATGTATTTCCCCAATATATTATTCCATATTTCACCAATGAATGATAATATGCATAATATACAGCTTTAAGACTATTTATATTTAATATATAGGATAATTTTCGCATTACAAAACCAACTGTTGCTCAACTTGTGAAGCAAAAAATTGATATGTCCCTTACAAGTCAGATGATTGTCCAGCTGCAAACCAAGAAATTTTATCGTTTCTACTTCTTTCAGCTTTTTGTTAAAAAACAATGTAAAACACAAAGAGTTTGTTACAAGGATGCCTGATGTCACCAACTCTGTTCAAAATATACATAGATACAGTATTGGAAGAATGGTCAAGAAAATATAAACGAATGGGATTAAAAATTGAAGACACCTGCTATGTGCACAATTTAGTCTTTGCAGGTGATCAGGTTGTAATTACTAAGAGGAGTAGAGGGTGCTAATTAGATAGGGAAAAAATAGAAGAAGACTATGGGAAATCGAGATTTAAAATGAATTATGAAAAAAATGAAATATTAAGGTAGAGACCACTCAGAGAAATTGCAAATCAGTGCAAATACAATTCAAACTGTAAAACAGTTTAAGTGTTTGGGATCAGTAGTTCAAGAGAATGGCTCATTTGATATTGAAATTAAAGAAAGGATTAGTGAAACAAGAAGTGTTATTAGCGTGCTAATTTTGGCTTTATGGAATAGAAATATCTTATGCACAACAAAGTTATTAAATTACAAACCAATGTTAAAAATCGTATTAACATTAGGAGCTGAAATGTCAATAAAACAGAAACACAGACATAAATTATTAGCTATAGAAATGGATTATCTCAGTGTTCAGCACAGATATTATGAATTGATAGAATTAGAAATGAAACGATTAGAACAAATATACAAATATACCATTATGTCTGCGGAAATATAACAGAACTGCAACAACTGACTTGATGATATAGAATATCACATGAAGAGTTTTAACCTTATTTTACGCCATAACTTCCGTTTGTATAATAAGTTTATAGTTCATTGTACTTTTATACCAGGTATTTTATAATGTAATAATTATCAAGTATCCAGCTTTACTGTCACAATAGAAGTTCAGTAGTGTGTGAATATGGTAATCATGTGTTTGCCTGATGATGGCTTTAATGGCCGAAACATGTAGCCAAGCTAATTTTGGCGTTGACCTTTATATTGTGGTGTTGAGACGGACTCTAATAAAGAAATTATATAATTAGAACAAAAATTGGGATGAAGAAAGACATATTACAGGAAACAGAAAAACAGCAGTTAAAATTGTACAGCCATGTCATGTGAATGGTGGACTGCAAAATTGCTAGACAGGTTGCAGAATGGAATCCACAGGGGAAAGGGGATGCAGCAGACCAGTCAACACATGGAAGGATGGGATTAGGGACAAAATGCAAAGTAAAAAACCTCAAGGATGAAGAATGTCTAGATCAAGAACTCTGGAGGAAAAAAATTATGTCTTTGGGTTGAAGAAAACTGTGTATTCAAGGAAAAATTCCTTTAATGAAAACATATTTTTAATGCAACCTGTGTTGAGGACATAGCCTTGTTGACTGTGAAACAACAATATATATTGCTATGCAAAATATCCATTCCCATTTCATTTAACTGGAATAACTGATGAATCATTGCAGTCATTAATGTGAAAATTGGCATGTGAAGAGCATAGGTGGCATAGAGATTGTGGGTATCGTGTTTACCATGTGTCCTGATCGGAGAAGCCAGTAGAAGTGGAAGTTTCTGTATGTCTTTTTGTAGCCCTCTATGATGCCGTCAATGACCACACTTGACCTTTCAGCACTGAGCCACTGCTGAGCTCCAGACCACTGCAGTCGCTCAGCCCAGATGAGAGTACCTGCAATATTTAATTTGCAATTTCCAGTTAATTTTAAAGCTCTGTGGGAAGGGGAAAGAAGTACAGAATTCACTGCATATGAAACTATGAAAACACATGTAGGCGGAGTTGAATACCTCCACTGTGATCACGCAAGTCGTAGGAGACAAAGTTTCAAATCTGAGACAGTAAAATATTGTCGTGAGTCCCAAGGGACTTGAATCCGAGAAAGACTGTACTGGCAAGGACCAGCAGCATCTACAAAAGACAGACATGTCCTCTTGATAGAGAGGGCTCCACAAAAACAAGACCGTAACTGTCAAACAGTAATAAATATCTGCTGGGGCTCAAAACCAAGACTTATTGACTGACTGACCATCAGTTGCAACGTGACTTTAACTTTAAATTTAACCAAGGAGTAAACCTGTGCAAAGGTGGGGTCAAATACCTCCACCGTGACCATGTGAGTAGTAGGAGGTGAGAGAAAGGGACATCTCAAATCTGAGACAGTAAAATATTGCCACAAGTCCCTAGGGACTCAGACCCGAGAAATTCTGTGATGGCAAGGGCCAGCAGCATATATAAAAGACAGACCCATCCTCTTGTCAGAGAGGGTGTCCCACAAAAACAAGATCATAACTGTCAAACAGTAATAAGTATCTGGTCAACAGGACTTAATGACTGACTGACTGATCGTCAGTCACAATGTGACTTTGACTTTGACCAAGGAGTGTTTCAGAGTATTTCAGAGTATGTGAGTGTGTTTAAGTGACAGTGAGAAAGCTGTACATGCAGTTCCGTTCAAGTGAGTTCTTGATGGAAGATAGCCACAGAAAGTTTGCCGTGTGAAGGCTTCATGTGTGATTAGAAGACTTTATTCATATGTAATATTTGGAGTGATTTGAAGCGCTTGTTCCTGTGGTTTAATTGCATTACCAGGAGAGGACTAGTGCGTGTGTAACAGTGAATTATGAAGTGTGTGTAAATCAGTGATAGCGCTGTAATTTGAGTGTAATTAAGAGAGGTTGTAACCAAAGCGTTAATAAATCCAATCATCCAAACTCGAACCAGTCATTCTCATTATGCCTACCATCCTACACGTGACATTATTTTCAAATTAGAGAAACAGGTTTTATGAATAATCACTGGTGTGAGTAGAAATACATCACGTAGGGAGCTTTATAAGAGTTAAATATACCTCAGCACCTTGCATACACATATCTAAAATAATATGCCACATAAATCTTCATATAAAGAAAGTGGATCAAAATGCTGCAATTCATAATCACAATACAAACCAAAAGCTGAACATTCTTCTTCAGTTTTATAGAACAAATGCCACCAAGAAAGGTGTAACAAATATGGGACTCAAATTATAAGGTAAATTACAAAATAAAATTAGGGAATTGAAAAAAAATGAAAGTTTAAAAGAGAACTCAGATCCTACCTATAACAGCCTTCATTTTACTCTGTAGATGAATATATATGTCATGTCACATTTTCAGAACATATTTCATTTGGTTGGTTCTTATGAATTCTATCTGTATTGTGTTATAATATTGTAATGTGTAGACATGTTATTTTACCTTTAGATGTGTATATGTGTAAGTAAGATGAATCCTATGTTAATAATTTGACTAAAAGGTTGAAGAAAAAACTGCTTGGGACAGGCACATCAATATGTCAGTCTATTTGTTAAATAACTGGTAAATATCTGTTATAGTGATACACATGTCCCAATCATTTATTGAACTATAACTTCCTAATTACTTGTGTTGATGGTCCCAGTATACATACTATACATACACACAACAGGATGCCAAACACGAAAAGTAATATGAGCTAACAGTTTTTTAATAGCTTCTATACATTTCCTGACCACAAAATCTGGTAATTCGTCAATGCCTGCAGAATTTTTTCCTTTAAACTCCTTAGTCACTTCTTATACTTCTATCCCTGTTACTGCAATAATAAATATAGTTTCATTGCAAACTATCGATATTTATTTCTTGTGATACTTGGAAATGCAACTTATTTTATTGTCTTCTTGTAAGAGTATTTCTACCATTTCTGAAAAATAGGAATTAAATAATTCAGCTATACACTGCAGATTTGATTCTTTTTCTTTCACCACATTTCAGTTCCATTTCCAGTTAATTTTGTGGCTTATTTCTTATTTATTACTTGCCACATTGCTCCAGCTTTATTTTTTTGCATTTGCTGTATTCCTATACAGGTATATTCCTTCTTTTTTTAGCTTCTGTAACCATACTTCTCTCACTGAAAAATCTCTTAATTTAACTAGGACAAGTCAATCAATTGTCTCCTCAGGAATGAGAGACCTGCCGACAGCTTGGAGGCTACCCGTGTCTAGACATGTCATTAGTCTGCATTACATACCATCCTCTGTTAGGCTTTTAGAGATAATGGTGGTCATGGAGACAGGATCATACACTTCACCTGAGTCTGGTATCCTCTCCATGGCACTACCAGTGTCGTTATCATCAGTTTGCTTTAAATATTATTTTCGGTCATAGAAGGGAGGTATTTTGGGGAATCAGTCTGTGTCTAGATGCTGAGCAAAACCTGCCTGGAGGGGTATTAATTTAATTGCATTTGTTCCTTGAAAACTGAAAGAAGGTTTAAGATAAACATCTCGTCAAACCAAATGCAGGACTGGTGCCCCTCATTAGACCTCAGCTGTCTCCCTTTTCTATGAACGGCCACTTAGAGGCTGTAACACTGAGCTACCTGGATGCTATAAAAGAAGACTCAGCTGGCTGGGGGGGGCAGTTAGTTACAGTTGGGAGTCAGATAAACTTAGGCCCAGTCAGATATAGAGGGACAGTTGAATACAGAGGGCTATGGTTAGTTACAGTGGAATACAAGTAATTACAGTTGGAGTCATATACAGCGAGTAGATAGCAGTCAGATTTTCAGATCCTTAGCTGGAGAGTGATATAATTATGAGAGGCACGCTGTTGAACAGAGAATTAGAAAGTATGACAGTCAAGAGAATTATACAGTGATGATGATGATGGTATAGTGACAGTTGTTACAAAGGTTGGTGATATAGGGAATTAAAGTGATAATTACGATGGGACAGATGCACGGGAAAGAGTTGAGAAGTTTATGAAGACATTTTTGTTACGATGGAAGTGTGATCTAATAAAGTACAAGTCTCACGGAGGACTAGTGTAACCTTGCAGACATAAATATCGACATACAAAAATATACTGCAGTCGTTGCATTCAAGTAGTGTAGTGATTCATCACTCCCAAAGTGTGTACCCCCATCCCGGTCACCAAAGCAATCTGTATCCCTGAGGGAGAGATTTCCTGACTCTACTGATCTGACAGGTATTATCAACGCAGCTGGCAGCTGTGGGAATTCTGGAGGCTGGTTATCTTTGGGATGGCTGCAAAGAGTGAGTAAACTTCCTTCATTAATCTCTTATATATCATTTGGTATTTGTTTATATAAGCTTGCTTTTCTCTCATAAGATGGATTCTCTTTTCTAAATTATTTAACCAATGCATCTTTAAATTGGGCGTTTCTGTTACCTGTGTTATAAAATTTCCTTTGTGGTTCCCTCTGACTAACTAATTTCAATGGAAAACAATACCAAAATAATAACGGGATATATCCATAAAGGCATTAAATATTCCATTTACTTCTGATTCTAAAATGAAAAATTCTTGCATATTTCATTACTTAAAACATAATGCAATTCTTTTAAATGTCCTTCTTTAAATACTCTTTTCCATACTTTTAATAGCCTACTGACATAACTTTTATGTATTATTATTTATGATAAATACATCAAGTAATGATTTCATACTTTTTGTAATTCTTGTTTGGAAGTATACCGTTTTTACGTAATTGTACGTAAAAAGTAAAAAATTTATGCATATACATATAGTTAAATATTCACAATCAGCAAGAAACAAAAGAGACACAATAGATTTTATTGCACATGTAACAGCTAATAGGATAATTACATCACACATACAGAAACATGAGTAGAAGTTGTAATAAAAACACATGATTTTCTAGTCATTTTATACATATTCTTACCAGCAAATAAAGTAAATTTAAAGAAAAAGCCCCACAGTATAATATATTAAAACAGAATTACTAAAAGAAGAGTGTTGAAAAACTGTATGAGACAAGAGTAAGAAGTTGTGGGAAGAAGGAATCACCTACTGTCCTTTGATATGTCACAGACCACATAGAAAACGGTGAATCCAACAATTCTTCTATTGCCGCGTGTGTATTCTTTGCTGCGGTAAAGTTTTTACTGAACCATTGCCTAGCAACAATATGGGGACACACACACACACAGACAACAAATTGATGGGAGGGGTTTATAAAGTATGACACTGAGATGGGCTCAGGTGCCATGATATACAAACCAAGTTTCATAAAGAATGGTATAAGCATTCAGAAGTTTAGGGGGGGGGGGGTTCACAGACAGCATGGTATTCTCATAAGCCTACTTTTATTTTTTCACAATAGGGGAAGTAGGCTTATCACTGCCATCATCTTCATACAAAATTCTGTGCAATATTCTTCTCTCAAGGTTAAGTCCATACATACACGTAGATGAAATTACTGCGTTTCAATGTAACAGATCAACTACTGATCAGATCTTTTGCATTCAACAGATACTGGAGAAAAAATGTGAGTACAATGAGACAGTACATCAGCTATTCGTACACTTCAAGAAAGCCTAAGATTCAGTCAGGGGGGAAGTATTGTACAGTATTCTGATAAAGTGTAGGTTACCCATGAAACTAGATAGGCTGATTAAATGTTTTTAAACAAAACGTGTGGTAAAGTCCTTACAGCTAAACATTTGTCTGATAATTTCCCTATCCAGAATGATCTAAAACAAGGAGATGCTTTATGACCACTACTTTTCAAATTTGCTTTAGAATATGCCATTAGAACGGTCCAGTTAAACCAGGCGAGACTGAAATTAAATGGGACACATCAGCTGTTGGCCTATGCTGATGTTGCGAATCTACTGGGTGATAATGTAGTTACCATAAAGAGAAACACACAGACTTTAACTGACACAAGTAAAGAGGTTGGTCTAGAAGTAAACACAGAGAAAACTAAGTATATGTTACTGTCTCATCACCAAAATGCAGGGAAAAATCATGACATAAAGATAAGTAAAATGTTTTGAAATTGTGGCACAGTTCAGATATTTGGGAATGATGATAACAGATCTAAACCTGATTCAGGCAGAAATTAAGAGGATACTGAACTCAGGTAGTGCTTGCTATCATTCACTCCAGAACCTTTTGCCTTCTCGTCTGCTATCCAAAAACTGAAATATTAGAATATACAAAAATATAATTTTGCTTGTGGCTCTATATGGGTGTAGAAATTGGTCCCTGACATTAAGGGAGGAACATAGACTGAGGGTGTTTGAGAGCAGGGTGTTGAGAATATTTGGAGAGAGATGAAATGACAGGAGGTTGGAGAAAACTGCATAATGAGGAGCTTCATAACTTTTACTCTTTTCCAAGTATAATTAGAATGATCAAGTCAAGGAGGATGAGATGTGCAGAAGAGGAATGGATATAGGATATTGTTGGAAAAGCCAAATGGAAGGAGCCACTGGGAAGACCAAGATGTAGGTGGGTGGACAATATTAAAATGGATCCTAGAGAGATAGGATGTGATGGTATGGAGTGGATTGATCTGGCTCAGGATAGGGACAAGTGGAGGACTCTTGTGAACACAGTAATAAACCTTCAGGTTCCATAAAATGCTGAGAAGCTCTTGAGTAGCTGCAGAATTGGCTCTCAAGAAGGGCTCAGCTCCATGAGTGAAAAAAGGGTACTACAGAACAGGCAACAAGATTTGGCGTTAGGAGTAACGGTACAGGAACAGAAAAAGTGTGCAACACTTGGCCAGCTGTTAAAATACTATAATGTATGGCCAATAAAGGTTAAACATAACTCACCTGGAGTGTCAACAATGAGATCCAGTTGCCCCGTAAATACACATACAGTTAAATTTGTTTCTTTCAGCAGCTGCTCCACTGTTAAACAAGAAGAACAAGCATACTTCAATATTGCCATTAACTTCGCACTGCACCTAAGCCTTATGCAATAGGATGCAGAAGTTAAGCTAAATGAATTTTAAGATCTAAAAGTTTGTGACAATAGTAAACTGCTACAAGTACTATGTTTTTGGACATTATCCATCATCTTGTCTATTTTAAAAAAGAAGCCCCTATCTCCAGTCCAGAGATAGGTGCTAGCTCTGTCTAGTGGACCCAACTGAGTAGGTTTTACCTGAGGATGGGAGAGAATCCAGTCTCCGAAACGTTGGGTTTTAAAATAGAAACAGGACTTTTTTTTTTAAATATACAAGATGATGGATAATGTCCAAAACCATAGTATTTGTAAATGCATTTTACTTCTTTTTATTGAATGACAATGAATCTTTTGAAGCAGCTGTTCTCTGAGACAACTCTGTTTCACATAATGTCTATGAGAAACTGTCTATTGTAGCGTTTGGTGCTTAGAAAAATTTCTACCGCTATCTACTTTGCCTTTCCATCCACATAGGCAGAACTTCCCTCATGAGACTCCAACGTTTTGTGAACGTACTGCCTAGAATGAAACTCATTATTAAATTGCTGGTGTCAAGGTGAGATGGAAAGCTTGTAGTAATAACAAAATAAAGAATTGGGTTTCATTAAGTAATTAACCAGGAACACTCTGCTTTGCACAAATCTTCATATATATTAAGTAACTGTCAAGTATGAAACACTGTCTTACAGAATTTTCTGAAGCAATGAAGGCAGTTCAAGCATGAAACCTGATCTAAATAGGCCTGTGTCTAATTGTTACATATTTTGTGTTGTCATCAGTACGATCAGACAAACTGGCTGGGTCAGAAATATTGAATTATCAATTGTGGATGGACTAAATAANATAGGTGTTTTCCTTCACCTGAGGACGGAAACAGATCCAGTTTCCGAAACGTCGTGTTTTTATTTGTTATCTTAAAAACCAGGACGATGGATAAAGTCCAAAAACCCAACATATCAGTGTAAATAACTGAGCTTTATCATTTTGACAACATACAGCTCTTAATATCAGCCTCGTAACCTGTGCTATTTGTTGATGCACAATTTCTTTCTTCCTCCACAGAGGACAGAAACATCAGAAACTTGTCTAAAGTGTTTTTTGCCTCATGGTTTCTTCTTTATCTTGTTTTCATTTACATTTTGTTGACCCCAGTTTATACTTTTTAAAAGTTAGTGTTTATACTGATACTGTTTAGCCACTATATATGAGCAAATCACACGTTTCACTTCATACTGGAAGTCATGACACTATTTCAAAGCATGAAGTATTTTATTTTCTACCAGTACAAAGCTCGAGCTCTGTCATCATAATCAATGAAGTATACTGAACCTCCACATCTATACAACTCATCAGAAGAATGATGAAAATATTCTGTCTGCCTCTTCTTAAAATCCACCACCATAAATCGATTGGCATTTTGTCTTTGCCATATCTTTCTTTCACGGGTTGTGTGCGAAGGGTAAATGGCTAGTGTCCACTCACAGAATATTATGCCTGACTGATATTGAATTGTGAAAAAAATCAAGTTGCAAAAACAGTTCCTCATGTCAATACATATAATTTTAGCCGCACAGTTTAGAGTGTTTTAAGTTGGTTGGTGGCTATACAGGGTAGACTGGAACAACCTTGTATCCAACTACCCCACAGTGATTAAAAGTTAATTCCTGTATATTCCATGCAAAGTTTTAATAAGAGTCCAGAATACATTATTACTTTCATGAAGAAACTTAAAATTACTTTATTCTTGTCATGTTTAAGTGTGAAGAAGTGATCAGAAGGCATCCAGTTTATTGACTAATCTTCAGACAGCATATGGTCTGCTCTATTTGTCTGCATTACCTTGTAACCCTACAAAAATCATTTAATAAGGAGCTCAAACTGTTCTAATATGTACATACCAACACTTGTGACTGGTTTCATGAAGTCCTCAGACAAAGAAGAGAACACGTTATCGCTTTGTCCTCCCCAGGTGACATTTTCTGGGATGGCTAGAGCTTCTTTTACAAAGGTATTCATGAAGTGGTCCAAACTGGAATCCCTCAGCAACATTTTGCCCAAGAAATCTGAAAAGAATGCACAAGAGAAGTCTTAAACTACTTGGTCATCATGACCTCAGAACATCACTCTTTCTACATTAAGGGCTTCCAGTTAAACAAAATGTGAAGATAACACCCACAATATCTAATTTTATAATTACATTGTGTGAGACTGTGTAAATACATAATTTCATTATTTTTTATATTTATTTCATTGTAGGAAATTTCTGTCATAAGGGTCCATAACAAACAAAGCATATGGAATTGCCTGGTTTTAGACGTGATTCTGTAATAATGATTGCTTCTTTTATTATTTCTGCAGTTTGCAGATGGTCTCAAAGTTTACTGTAGAAGGAGGAAAATGGGGTGTGTGCATGCATGCGTGGGTGCTTGCACACATGCATATGCACTTGTATGTGCACACATATGTTTTTGTGTCTGTGCATGTGTATTATTATGTTTTTAATTGACATGAAAAGTAGTTCATAAGGAATGTGAAGGTATGTTTATGCTCTGTCTCCATACCCAATTCTATGTAATATCCTCCAGTGGTTCATTTTATATAGCCATCAAAATGACAATGTAGATTTCATTCAGATGCCATATTTTACACTATACAAAACAATGACCTCATAAAAGCTGCATATTTTTCTAAGATTTATTATCATACAGCATTTCAGAACTGTATATGAATGGTGAGTGAGCTGGTATAGTGCAGTCTGTATAGTGGCTAGCTACTGGCTGGACGACCAAGGGGTCAAGAATTTTCACTTCCAAATGTTGTTCAGATTGGCTCTAGGGTCCACTCAACCTCCTATCCAATGTGTACAGGGGGTAAAGTGTCCAGGGTGTGAAACTAATCACTCACCTCCAACCAGTGCTGAGGTCAAGGAAACATGGGTCTATACATCCACTCCCCTTCAGGGTGTAGTGCTTACATAGTTAAGTACAGGGACAACTTTACCTTTTACATACGAATGGTGAAAATCCATACTAAATTTAGAGCAAATCAGTAAGTTCAAAATTTGAAACAGGGATGAACATAAATAACATTGTGATCTCATAAGCTTGCTTTCTTTCCTCAGAATGGGAAATATGGCTAAACATTGTCCTGGGAAACTCAGTTTCTTAGGGTCAAAACTGTGACTGAGTACTTATTATCATTAAGGGCTTAAATTTTACACACAAGAACTTATACAATACCAGACACATACACTGTATTTCTTTAAAAACAGCGTAATTCCATGTTGAAAATAAAATTACTCATATGTCATAGGAAATAATACTTAATCATATTCCATCATGTAAATATTCCTTTGTTTATTAATTACCTGGTGACCTGAGGATTCATGCTTCTTCTAGCAAGTAGTTTGATTATATCTAATCAAGCTGAGGTTCCAGATTGTAGTCTTCTGAGTTGTGATACCATGTAGTCTTGTATGTGTATACCTCAGTGTTGAACACTAAAGATGGAGGCATCATGTTCTTCTGAAATGTTTTTATCTTCTTACAAGACAGCACAATGTCATAACGCAGAAGACCTCATTCTGAACAGTCATCACCATGAAAATCTCAAAAGTCTTGTATCTAATGTTATATTTTAGCGTCCTGTTGCACTGATTTAAGTCCATGATTTATTTAAACCGTCTTGCAGTGCATACACTCATCTATCTCCTTCTCTCACTCGCACTACATGTTTCGGCATAATAATGCCATCTTCAGGTGCTTACTCATCCACGCCAAACTAGTTCATTGCATGCCTTGTCCTTATATTAAAATAACTAAAATATATATCTACCATATATATTGACAAATGTCGAACATTAAAAATATTAAAATTGTTCAGGATTCCACATCGCTACGTTGCACCTCACTACGCCAGTCACGCCCATTCTCCTCTGTTGGAGCACTCCTTCACTATTGTGTGTGTGTTGTGCTTTTGTTGTGTCTTGCTCCTGTGACTGTGTGTGTTATAACACACGCAGTCACAGGCTGTGCCTCTGATGTCTGTAGCTTCATCCAGTTGGAGGGAGAAAGCAACACAATTGGAAACATCTTTCAACAACTGTTCAGTTATGTTTCCACATATCATCTCTATTTGCTGCACAATGGTGTTTCTTGATAAGTGAAGATTTTGAATAGTAGCTATGATCTCTTTCTTATTTTTAAATCCTTCAAAAAGATTATCAGGTATTCAAGAAAACACACTTTTACAGATTCCCCTTCAGTGAAAGGTTGGAATTTTTTAACGATCAGATTGCTGACCTTGAAGGATGATTTGGTTGCACTGTTAGAAAGTGACCTTGGTTTTGCCATCAACTATTGTTGAGCAGCTAATTTTGATTTAATTTCTTTGACCTTAAGTTTATGAATTTCACTTTTGGGTGGAAAATCAGCATCGTACTTATTGCTATGGAGAGCATATGGAGAGACGTTCCAGATTACCCTTTTTTTGGCAAAGATACTGAGGCGTTGCATTTTCCACTATATTGAGGTAACTGTTTCATCTGGCACACGCACAGAGAGGCTTTCAAAATTAATAAAATAACGTGGGCAGGGCACTTACTGTCCCTTTGATACACTGAAATCAACCCCTAACTCTATATTTGTTTAATGCACAGCAAAGTGACCAATCTCCACTAACAACTAATATAATAATACATCTCATGTGTTAGTTCAACATACGTGGATTCACAATTGACTGGAGGGAGGGAACAAAGTGAATCACACATTGTCATTCACTCTTGCATCAGAAAAAACGTGGCTGATGATGAGTGAGGAAATAAGAGTTCACGTGATAAGGATAGAGTAGGGACTTCCCCACAGTTCACTTAACACAAGTGTAAAGCAATTTTCAAGTAAGCTACATAAGAACAGAAAAATAGGAATGACTAATACATATTTTCCCTTAAAAATCTGAATATAATCATATTATATTACAAGTGAATTTACATGCCTTTCACGTATAATTTCCTTATAGGCCTATGAGATCAACCAAAAATCATCCCACAATCGACCGGTCGATCGTGATCAACACGTTGGACATGCCTGGTCTAAGGCATGAACTGTCTTCGCTTGCTCAGATGCTGGGATCATGGGTTAGAATCCCACTGAAAGCATTGATGTTTGNGGTTGGAATTTTTTAACGATCAGATTGCTGACCTTGAAGGATGATTTGGTTGCACTGTTAGAAAGTGACCTTGGTTTTGCCATCAACTATTGTTGAGCAGCTAATTTTGATTTAATTTCTTTGACCTTAAGTTTATGAATTTCACTTTTGGGTGGAAAATCAGCATCGTACTTATTGCTATGGAGAGCATATGGAGAGACGTTCCAGATTACCCTTTTTTTGGCAAAGATACTGAGGCGTTGCATTTTCCACTATATTGAGGTAACTGTTTCATCTGGCACACGCACAGAGAGGCTTTCAAAATTAATAAAATAACGTGGGCAGGGCACTTACTGTCCCTTTGATACACTGAAATCAACCCCTAACTCTATATTTGTTTAATGCACAGCAAAGTGACCAATCTCCACTAACAACTAATATAATAATACATCTCATGTGTTAGTTCAACATACGTGGATTCACAATTGACTGGAGGGAGGGAACAAAGTGAATCACACATTGTCATTCACTCTTGCATCAGAAAAAAACGTGGCTGATGATGAGTGAGGAAATAAGAGTTCACGTGATAAGGATAGAGTAGGGACTTCCCCACAGTTCACTTAACACAAGTGTAAAGCAATTTTCAAGTAAGCTACATAAGAACAGAAAAATAGGAATGACTAATACATATTTTCCCTTAAAAATCTGAATATAATCATATTATATTACAAGTGAATTTACATGCCTTTCACGTATAATTTCCTTATAGGCCTATGAGATCAACCAAAAATCATCCCACAATCGACCAGTCAATCGTGATCAACACGTTGGACATGCCTGGTCTAAGGCATGAACTGTCTTCGCTTGCTCAGATGCTGGGATCATGGGTTAGAATCCCACTGAAAGCATTGATGTTTGGTGTGTGTGTGTGTGTGTTTATTCTGTTTGTGTTGTCCTGTGTTTAGGTAGAGGCCTTGCGACAGGCTGATCACTCATCCAAGAAGTCCTATGGTCTGTGAAAAATGATTACAGAACTGAATAAGAGGCCTGGGCCCTGAATGGGCTAGAACCACCATTGTAAAAAAAAGTGTGTGTGTGTGTGTGTGTGTATATATATATATACACATGCACACACACACACACACACAATTTTTTCTTTTTCATTAATTTCTTTTGGGGGTGGAGGGTGGGGAGGGTGACTTTCTGGCCTCTGTTTCAATAAAATTTTAGGTTTTCATGACAGTGGAGATTTTGGTTGTGGTCCTCTATGTTATGGTACTGTGTAGTGTGATCAGGTAGTTAGCAATGTTTTTGAGCAACTTTCTACCTCTACCATCAGGATAGAAATGAAGATGCTGGCAGCAGTTTCTTCATACTGACCTAAATGTTGCAATGTTGTATGTCAATACCCACAGCATTTGTGGGTTCTTATAACTGTTATGTGTAGTTCATATTCAAAACGTTCATTTTACACTATACTGTACGAGTATACTCCATCACTCTTTGACCAGATATTTTCATGAACGAACGCCACATTTTGCCATACGTAACCAGATGAACAGTACAACAGCAATTACTGTTCTCTTCTTCCCCCTTTCATGAAGATTGGGTGCTTAAGGATCACTCAAGATAAGTGTATCTCTTTTGAATTTGTCACAGCTTATTACTGTATTCTTATTGAACAATGCTGCATCAACTGCAGAAGCTGACTACCATCAAATGATAACTGGTGTTGTGGTTATATACTGAAAGTCAGAACTGAGGAAAACATGACCATATATACATATTGCTTAGGATTGTAAAATGTTGTTAGTATCCTTGTAACTTTGTAGGTTTGTTTGTTAAGTTGTAGTCCTGGATAAATCAATCAATTAATCAATCAATATAGTTCGTAGTATGCTTGTAACTATGTAGAGTTATTTTGTTAACTCTTTGACTGGGGCGGGCGTGTTTTAACGCCCGGACGATGCCAGCCGTTCCCTGGCGTTGGCGTGTTTTAACGCTTTGACAATCTCTTCCCTTTTTGCTCTCTTGGCACTCATCAACCAAAGACATATATATGATAGTTTTTGTGCATGTTTGTAAAGAACCCTTGTAAACTTTGTGGGGGTCTATATTACTGTCAGAACCCTCTGAGAAGGAAAAGGTCAGAAAATATTTCACATTCATTCAGTTTCACCATGGCTTCTTGCAGCAAGTGTCTTCGTGTTCCTACAGACCAGTTGGAAAATGTTGTGAACGAGATTTGTTCTGATGATGATAGTGTCGATGAAATAATGATTCCTGAATTGGATGAAGTTGATAGTGACAATAATACAGTGATAGACAATGATCCACAAGACAGTAATCATGAACATTTACCTACCACGAGTGCGGTGCCTGACACGCCCATCTCATGAACGTACGGAGACA